CATCTACTTCTGCCCGCCCCCGGTCATTTCCATTCCATCCGCCGCCGCAGATGCCGCTTCCTGGAGCCAGCACTTCCCGCAGATGCCGCCGCCGCCTCCTCCGCTGGCGCCGCTGGCTCCGACCTCCCCGACTCGCGCGGACGTTGCTAACGAGCAGCGCTTGGTGGGAAAGCCCGGGCTTCCTTCCGCTGCGATTGGCGGAAATTCGGGTTTCCGCCCGTGGAGGCAGTCTAAGGAGCACCACGAGTCCACTTCCGCCGATTCGTCCCCCGTCCATCCGGGTCCCGCCTGTGCCTCCGCGGAACCATGCCACGTCAGCAACCCGTTTCTCAGGCCCTTCACGGTGCCGCTTTCGGGCTTGGCGCATCTTCCCTCGCGGCCTTCCCCCCTCCCCTTGTGCGGCGTTGCGCCTTCGATTGCGCCCACTATGGTTGCGCGGATGATGTCCACAGGGGGGCTCGGCGGAGCCGGCTGCGCTCAGCTTCCGCCGTTTGGGTGGCCGTTCCCCGGGTATGGGGAAGTGGCGGCGAGTATGAGGCCGAGCTCTCTTATGGCGCTAGAAGGGCATGCTTTTATCGGGGATAAGAGAAGGCTGGGAGAGGGGAAGAGCGCCGATGGTGGGGAAGAAGACGCGCACGCGCGGAAGCGGCGCAGGCGGAGGGGGAGCGTGGAGCACACAGTAAGCGGAGAAAACGCGGAGGCTGGGGGAAGCGGGGGGCGCATGTGGGGCATCAGGCCAGGGAGAACGGGGGGGAAGTGGGGGAGGGAGCGGAGAGGGTGGGGCATGGGAAGGGGGAGGGAGGCGAGGAGAAGGAGTGCAGCAACTGCGGCACGCACACCACACCGTTCTGGCGCAAGGACCGGTCGGGGAGCGGGCAGCACCTGTGCAACGCGTGCGGGCTGTACCTCGCTAAGAACGACGCCCCCCGGCCGGCCGTGCTGTGGAAACGAGGTGAGATGCGGGATTGAGCATTGGGAGAGGAAGGGGTGGGTTCAGTAAGATTGTTACTGAAAAGGTTGTACTCGATGAAAAGCAATGCTTCTGGATGTTACAGGCTCCGTTTAAAAACTCTGTTCTCATCACTCGTCTCATGTGCCTGTCCGTTCGTTCCCTTTGGCAGACGCACATGGATCCCATGACACATCATCGCATGACTCAGCGCACCACGAGGCAGCACACCATGGTGCAACCCACCCTCCAATCCCCCACCAAGCTCCATCTGCTGCCGCCGCTGCTGGTGCCGCCGATGCTGCTGCTGTTATTTCGCCTGTTCTTGAGGCCCACTTGGCTGCTGCTGCGCCTCACGGCCATGTCTCGCCTGCCCTGGTCTCTCTACCTCCTCCACCTCCAACTGTGAACTGACCGTCTGGTGCATTGAGGTCTGCACTCACTGCTGCTGCACTGCCGGGCACTCACTCTGCTCCGCAGCTCACGTTGCTATCGCCCGCCGCAGCCATGGTCCCCCTGTCCTTGTCTTGCCTCCATCTCACTGTTACACCGGCTGTTACACCGGCTGTTGCACCAATTGCCGCATCCTCTCTGCATAAACTCCTAATAGCTACCCAGATTTTATCTGCATCTGCACAACGTCCTCCCATTCCTCCACTTCATGTTGCAGACAAGGCATCAAACCTTGCTGCAACTCCCTTCCCTGGACCACTGGGGGAACTCTTTCTGGCTTTGGATTACACACTCTGGTCGTACCCTACCCTAGGCATCAGTTGGACTCTGTGAAACCAGGGGGGTTTGCTGTAATGCATTGCTCATATCCTAGACCTACTTAGGATGTAGATATGGAGTTTTTCCAGCCTTCAAAGGCTGTAAGGCTTCAGAGCAGGAAGCTTGTAATGGCCTGCTTAGAAGTTTCCAGGTTTAAGATGAACTCTTCGGTTGAGGATTAGCAATGTAAATATGATATATTTGAATATGATGGGTATGTCTTTCTTTATTTTTATTTGTTTATTTATTTTTAGATGACTCAGCAATTGATTTCTGCACAAAAATAATAAACCTTATCCCACTTGCTCAAGTGCACTTCAGATTTATAATACCCTTGCTCTCAGCTCCCACTCAACGTAATTATATTTTCTCTGCGTTTTGTGCCACTTTCTGAGTTTGGCACACCAAGAGCCTCCTAATTTGTAGATATGGTGCCTGTAAGCAAACAAGAAACGAGGTTGTCATTTTGCCTTTGTGGAATAATATATGAAGCCTCTGTATTTCATGCTCGATGTCTGCAAATCGAATGCTGGTGTGGTGCAGCCTACGAAGATTGTCATCAGTAGTTCATAATTGGTCACAGGCTGGCCCCTGCGATTCGGCCCCTGGCTGTGGAGCACATCACCTGAAAGGGGGTCTCTGCTTCGAGTTTTATACCAAGGGGGGTCGGCGCGGCGTGGAGCAGTCAACTGTGCTTCCCTGTACAGTGCGTGTACCCTAATGTGGAGCAAAGCGCAGGTTTTTGACATGTCATGTCCTGGCCGTGAATGTCTACCTGCGAGGGAGCCGGTTTCCAAGAATTCACCTGCACAGTAAGCAATTGGGATACATTCCAGACTCGGCAACAAGCCCTAGGCGCCGAGCTGGCTCTCTGCGCCTCGTCAGGCGGTCGAAAGTTGGGGCAGTTGCTGCTGCCTGTTACACTTCGTATCATCACTTCCACCTGGGACCATGTCCTGATACGGGCAGGAAACAAGTTTGAGCACGTCTCAGCCAATCGCAGCTCGGCTTGGCGTCATTCGAGGGCTCCAGAAGAGCTTCCTGCTGCCCAGCCACCTGCTCACCTCTCTTCAAAACCAAGACCAACCCACCTGGAACTTCTTCAGTAAGGATCTCAGACACGCAGGTTCAAGGCCAGGACATCTAGGGCACCCGAGAACACTTGCAGCAATATCTACCCACAAGCCCTTCAATACTTCGTACTAGGGAGGATTAGGAAGTACCGCTAGTGCTGGAAGCAGACTAGTCCGTTTCGAGTCATCGACCTTATCGTCTAATCTCGTCGCCATGGGCCGTCTAGGCGTCGCGTTCCTCGCTCTCCTCTTCCTCGCGCTGATCATCTGCGCAGAGGCCGGTAAGGCGAGCACCCTCAGTGACAAGAAGGGCCACGGGAAAAAGGGCGGCAGCAAGAAGGGCGGAGACAAGAAGGGCGGTCCGAAGGGCAGAAAGTCGGGAGAATCCGGCAAGTCGAAATCCGGCGCGGTGGCGGCGTCCGCCAAGGGTGCCATCGTCACGAGCAGCACGCCGCAGTCGGTCGGCAGCGAGGACGTGGGCGGCGGCGAGGTGAAGATCAAGGGGCTCGGATGGGCGGCGAAGAAGTGCCCGACGGAAATGGCGCTCAAATACAAGGGCGCGTGCACGGCCAAGAACTGCTCCAAAGCCGGCATTCCCGCCAAGTGGAAGGCGTCCATCATCTCGAAGAAAAAGGCCAAGCACGTTGCGCTCATCCTGCCCAATGGCGGCTGGTCCGTCAAGAAGCAGTCACCCGAGGCGTGCTGCAACCAGTGCGCCGCCACCCACGACTGCACGTACTGGCAGTTCACCCCTGCCGCGGGCAAAGAGTAAGCACCCGGCTCCTTGTCGTCGTGAACCGTCATTCTGTTCACACATTTTCTTCCGCTAGTACAGTCAACCTTTTTTTGTATTCTAATTTCTTTTCACTTCCTACCGTTCTCTCCGTCTGTGCGCGCAGGCCCGGGCAGTGCGATCTGATCAAGGAGGAGCAGGATTTCATCTGCGGAGATCTGGCGGCGCAGTACGAGAACAAGGACAAGCCCGTGTACCTACAGGTGCGTGCAGGCGGCGAGTGCAACGACGACCCTGAGATCCTCGACGACCCGCACTTCGTCGGCGCGCACGGCACGCGCTTCGACTTCAACGGCCGTCCCGACAAGGCGTTCTGCCTGCTGACTGACGACAACGTGCACGTCAACATACTGCTGAGGGGTTACTACGACGACCGTATCGAGGGCGCTGCTCTTGTCGTCGATGGGAAGGCCGTCCACACCTGGATCAAGTAAGCTAATCATACAGCCGTAATCTTCCCTTCGATTATTCTAGCTTTCTCCTGTCACACATCCCCTTGTCTTCCTGCCATATGTTAGGGTGGTTGCTCAACTCTTTTCCCTCCGTGTACCTTTTCCCTCCGTTATTTCAGGGAGCTCGGTATCGTGTGGCACGCGAACGACGCGGATCACAAGCTGCGTCTGGTTGCCCGCGGCGGCAAGCAGCAGGAGCGCGGCACCGGTTACATGCAGGCCATTGAGGTTGACGGCACTGAGATCCAACGGCTGGCGCTCGGCGAGAAGTTCCTCGGCGCCGGTGGCCTCGAGATCGCCCTCGCAGCGTACGAGAAGCAGGGGCCGTACGACGTGGATTACTACACCGTTTCGGTGGCCGGGATACTCTCGTTCGACATCCGCTTGCGCGTGGCTCACCCGAAGCTGCAGACACCGAACGATGCCGAGGTGCACATCAACGTGGGCGTTACATCTTTCAAGTACACGGACAACGTGCACGGCGTGCTGGGCCAGACGTACAGGGAGGACCACGTGGCCCGTGCGGTCGATTTCCAGGAGCTCGTCTCGTCGCTCCACCGCCCGGTTTCTGTTGACGGAGAGCTCGGCGCGGGATTCCTGGATGGCACTCCTCGATCGTACGAGGCCAGCTCGGTGCTTGGCGTGGATTGCGCCATGACAGCCTACCACCGCGCCATGCACTTGAGCGCTGCGTACAACTAAGCTTCGCTTTGCCGCTTCTTTTCCGCGGTATCCGATTTCTCGTTTGTCTTCATATCGCTACCCCCCATACTCTTTCTGGTCGTGGACACTGAGGGCCGAGGCCCAATTGTAATTTTATGTGGCTGCCATTGCATGTCTGTAGGATAATTTGGATAAAGCATGCCAATGCTGTATTGCTCGACTGCCATTCAAAGTAGTTCATATTGCGGAAACATGGACGATCCTTGAGGTAGTTTTGATATTTTATCCATTTTTCAGCACAACTATCTCGCAAACCACTGTGTTAGCTACGCGCAGCATCAAGGCAGTCAAGCCAATGTAGCATCTCCTCGTTGGGGTCGGATATGGGGTAGATTGCATCTACTGTCACCTGCAGTCATGCATGCAAGCACACGTATGTACAGATGGCGGTTACACAACCCCACCAACACATACCATTAGCACCCTCAGACTCACATCCCCATAGCCACACACACACACATTTACACATGCCCCCCCCCTCAACCCCCACCCCCCCTCTTCCCCCCCCCCCCGCCACACATACATACACACATGCCCAGACAGACACACATACATAAAAAGGAGGGTTAAAGAAGGGTGAATTACCTTCACCCTCAACCTGAATGTGCCGTTCACAAACACCCATCTTTCTGCTGCTCCCGTCCTAAGAGATCGCTGTACTCCCCATGCCTACCTGCCTCCTCCCCTTGAACACTGTCACTCTCCCTCGCACGCCCACCAGCGCGCCCACGTGGACACACGTGGCAGCCTGCAGCAGTGCCACGTGGCGCTCTGTGGGGTCGCGGCTGTTGAGCCACAGCACACATGGCACAGCGCGCACAGGCCGCGTGGCGCAGATGGGGGACACGGGTGATGGCGCAGGTGACGGCGCAGGGGGGAGGGGAAGGTCGGGGGGAGGATGGGGGGAAGAAGTGGGGGGAGGAAGGGAGAGCGCAGGGGCAGCAGACGAAGGGGCGGATGGTAACGCGCCTGTGGGGAGCGCAGGGGGTGTGGCAGCAGACGGAGGGACGGAGACACGGGCGGAGGAGGCGGGCGGAGGGGCGGGCGGAGGGGCGGGGGAAGGGGCAGGGCGGGAAGGGGCCGGGCGGGCGGCGGCAGCGGCGGTCATACTGGCATCGTCTAGCGCGAAGCGGACGAACTTGAAGGGGAGATGGTCCACGTCCACCACGACGCCCACCACGTGCACGTGGCGCAGCCGCGTCTGCCACTCCACGCCGCGCGCCCGCTGCTCTTCGGGGGGGAGGAACGCCGACGCGAACACGCGCCGGTACGCGGGTAGGCGCGGGGCCTCCTGCATCGCCAGTCCCTAGCTTCCGCGCGGCTGCGGAGTGCGGAGTGCGGAGTGCGGAGTGCGGGATTTGAACAGTTGCGTCTGCAACTGGACGGCGTGCGGCTGCTGCGCTGGTGGGGGTAAGGTCGAAGCGAGCTTCTCGCTCGTGCACGGGAAGGTTGGCGTCCCACGCTTGCATTGCGAAGGCTATCGTTCCCTCCTGCCCCTTCTGCTACTCATGCCTACCCCTCGCGACGATACCGTACGCTGGTGCATTCCCGTGCTTCCGTGTTTCCCGTCGTACGCGGAAGCATGCGACGAGTGCGTGCTGAACGGAGGAATGCGGGACCAGCGGGAATACGGGGAGTGGGGGGAGTGCTGTGGTGGGCGCGAGGTTGCAGGGCAAGCACCTGCAGTGCAGCAGATCTGTTGGCAGGAAATGTGCGCCCTTTCTTCGGTAAAAGCTGGTGCTTTTTCCCATGGGAAATAACTCTTGCCCTGCTTGTCAGTTCAGAGCAATAAATACATAATACCGTTAATTCATCTTTCTAAATCATTAGTTTAGCTTCAATTGCACAAATATTTCTAGCTGTACCAAGTACGCACACTTCAGAAGATCCATAATTCAATGCAACGCAATGCAGACGTAGCTTCAAACGACCCCAACCCGAATGCCAGAGTAAAATGAACAATTTATATTCATAACCCATGCATGCTGGTCTACAGAACCTAGAATCGCCCCAACGGCATGACCCTAAATCCAAGTAACCAGCTGGTTGGCGCTGATCTTAACCATACGTCAATAGGTAACTGGTTATTACCTCAATCCTTCCGCCATGCCCCCATTACGACCCCGGCTCTTGAACCCTGTGCTTGGTCCTCTCGGTCGCACTGCCCCTGGGGGGTTGCTTCTCCTTGTCCTTGCGCTGCTGCAGCCACCCCACGAACGACGGCAGCGACGACAACTCAAAGTGCTCCTCCGGCGCTACCACGTGGCTCCCCTCCCCTGCACCTGGAGTCTTGTGGGGCTTGTGAGCCGACTGAGCCAGCTGAGCTGACTGAGCGGCATCAGTCGTCTCACGCATCCTCCCATGTGCACCCGGCATGGTTTCAGTCCCACTCGTAGAATGGGTTTGGGATTCGGTGGTAGAGCGTGGTCCTGCACTCGCAGCGCGTGCCGCAGGAGCACTGGAAGCAGCAGCAGCAGCAGCACCAGCACCACCACCAGCTGCTGCTTCGGTTGAGGGAGTAGCAGCAGCAGGAGTGGCAGTACCAGCAGCACTAGCAGCAGGGGGAGCAGCAGCAGCAGCACTAGCAGCAGCAGCAGCAGAATGGATGTTTGCTGAATCTCCGCTCCCTTCCCCTCCACCCTGCCCCCCCCTTCCCCTCCCTCACCATCACCTCTCCGCTGCCCCCACGGCAGGAAATCCACGAGATTGAACACCACCGATGGAATATGAGACGCCGCGCCGCCCACGTGTGATGCCGCTGCCCCCACTGTGCCGCCCACATGAGATGCCGCCGCCCCCACCGTGCCGCCCACATGGGACACCGTAGAGCCCACAGTAGACGTTACTGTGGAGGCGGCTGCGCCGACAACACCAGCAGCTGTTGAGAAGAGCGGGCTGACCACGCGGATGGGGATGACCGTTGCGTCCCTGAGGGCGTCTGGGTGGGAGATAGACGAGGGGGGAAATATTTGAGGCCTGTCCAGCATAAGGGCTGACCACGCGGATGGGGATGACCGTTGCGTCCCTGAGGGCGTCTGGGTGGGAGATAGACGAGGGGGGAAATATTTGAGGCCTGTCCAGCATAAGGGCTGACCACGCGGATGGGGATGACCGTTGCGTCCCTGAGGGCGTCTGGGTCTAGTGGCGGGGGAGACAGACGAGGGGGAACGTTTGAGGCCTCTCCAGCATACGGGCTGACCACCTGGATGGGGATGACGGTGGGCGTCCTTTAGGGAGTCCGGGTAGGGAGAGGGAGGGGGAGGGGGGAATGGGGAACCAGATGACGCGATGGTGCTTGATGGATGGACGGGATGTATGAAAGAGCAGGGCTCACTACACGGATGTGGAAAACCATGGTGTGTTTGAGGGATTGCGGGAGGGAGGTGAAGGCACTGTTTGGTGTATGCATGGACCATGGTTACCACCTGGGCATGGCACATGGTTACCACATGGGCATGATTCATAGTTACCTGGTAACCAGCACTCACTGGCAGTATGCTGCTCCTTCCCCTTGGTGGCACTAGTGCTGGTGGGTCCCTACATATGCTATGGACGGCGTGTGCATGGCACGTGGTTACCTGGTTACTAGCACTCACCAGCAGCATGCTGCTCCTTCGCCTTGGCGGCACTGGTGCTCGTGGAAAGGCGGGAGGCACGGGCAGGGCTGCGCACTCCCTGGGAGATCTCATGGCTGCACAGAAGAATGAAGGAGAGTGGTGACGAGTGGTGGGGAGTGGTGGTGAGGCACACAGAGAGAGGGAGGCGAGAAGTGAGGCATGAAGTGAGGCCGACAAGACACGACACGTGTCTCACCTGAGGTTTCACATGAAGAACATCTGAGCTCGCTGAGCTCCATCCCTGACAGCCCCATGGCCGCCATGGTCCCCGGCAGCTCCTCCCGATACGACTGTTGAAATCACCTGAAAATCACCTGAGAATTCACCTGGGCGCGCACCTGAGGTCGCTGAGCTCCATGGTGAGGTCGCTGATCTCCATGCCTGACAGCCTCACCGCCGCCATGGTCCCCGGCAGCTCCTCCCTCGCCGTCGCCGCCAGCCTTTCCACCGCCTGGGCCGCCCTCCGCACGGCCTGCAGGTGATGCGCGATGGGGGGAGGAAGCATGCGTGAGAGGGGGGGGTGGGGGGGAGGGGGGCAAGGTGCCTGAGAGTCTCACAGCGGCCATGGTCCCCGGCAGCTCCTCCCTCACTGTCACTGCCGGCAGTCTCTCAGCGGCCATCCGCTCCGCCACCTGCGCTGCCCTCCGCACGGCCTGTGGCATTGCATGGTTCGGAAGGAGGGCGCACGTGTGGCGACCAGCGGCGGGAGCGCGGGGATAGCGACGGGTGCACCAGGACGTACCAGCAGCGCGGGGATGGCGGCGAAGATCATTCCGGAGAGCGCCGCGGAGATCTGCAAAAGAAGCGAGAATCCGACGGTCGGACGGGGTTTACGCAAACGAACCGTGAGTATAACGGGCGGGCAGAGGGCGCGAGAGGGGAGGATACAAGGACATGGTTTAGAAGCGGTGAAGGGAGACGCAGAAACAGGAGTCTATAAATGAGGCGCCTCAAATCAGAATCAGGCGGCTCGCATACCGAGCAAGCGACGAAGCCGAGGCTCAGCACAGGGACGTCGCGCGGCGACACGTGGAGGAGGCCGGTTGGTTGGGGAGCCGAAGACACCGATGCGACAAGATGCGACGCGCCCGTGCGACTGCCACACGTCGCACAAGGCGCGCTGAAGGCTGATCCGGAGGCACCGTGCTTCTCGCCCTCTGCGACACGGGTCGTCGCCGTGTGTCGCCGATCAACGTCGCTTGCGGTCGCTTTCTTGTCGCTTGCTTGCGCGTCGCTAGACCGTGCGACGTTGGAGCGTCCCGAAATCCATCGGGGGATCAGCGTCGGCGCAGACGCGGGATTCGCGGCCGATTCTTCGCTGCGCACGTGGAGTGCTTCTATTGGCTTAGAATGCTCCGCTTTCGCCTGCTCCGTTAAATGCGATAAGCAACTCGAGTCGAGGCGAGGCGAGGCACTGGAGTGAAGAAACGACGACTTTTGGGTCGACTCGAAAATAGATGGAAACGCGGCCGTAATGGTCACTCTGCGCCCCGCGTTTCTCAGCGGGAGACGCGTCGCAAGCTTCGGCGAAGCTACCTGGGGTGCGGGCTTATTCAGACGGCAACGACATGCTCCGCTACTGACTGCGTTCGTTATACGCGATACGGCGCTGGAGGACATCGTACTTGGCACAGACGAGAAACGACTGCAGAAAAACACGACAGGAATAAATACTCCTAGGGCTTCTTATAGGGCGCCTCGCAGATGCCTTTTAGTCCTTCGCGTAGACTCGAAACTCGGCTTCCCTTGCGAAGGTGCTCAACACATAGTGAGTGCTACGCCGCGTTGCTAAAAAACATTTTTATGGACAGTAGGCATGTGATCAGACCAACAGGTAACTTCTGCACAAGCTCGTAACGCCTAAAGCTCTTCCTGGCCGGAATGTATTCGATGAGCGTGAAATGGTAAGAGACACAGAAGCTAGACGCCAGTGACGGCTTTATGGCGTCTCCTATGTGACGGCTTACTACTGAAGTGAAGAGGCGATTATAGTCTGGCTGGGGCGGAGAACGGCTTTGCCGCCTGGATGCTGCTCCACTACTGCATTATTCGGTGCGAAGCGGTGAGGAGAGTTAAACAGAGTTGTCAAGCTGTACACGTGATTTCTCCCGTGCAATCTGTGTCAGGGTCTGGGGCCTGGGAGGTCACTGGAGAAGAGGTGGGGGCTGCGAATTGCTGCGGAAACGAAGCGCAGAAACGTGAACAAATAAAACCAGGTTGAAGTGCGGTTTAGTAGGGTTCCGAGCATGTACGAGAGTGTCCTGATGGACGAAGGACAAGCTAGAAGATTGGGCAGCGGCAGTGGAACCTGACGCGGAAGTGGCCTAATCTGAGCCGTGCAAATTTCAGCGGGAGGAACGATCGCGACCAGCCAGTCGCGCAATATCTAGACACGTAGCGGCAGTGTCAGAAATGAGTCATCGTGACGCAAGACACACGGTCGTATTGGCCGATGCCACATCACGGCTTTCTGGATCACTCGACTCGCTGCGACGGAATTCTCCGTTAGGTTGGCGTGCTGATCGTGGATCCATATAATACGACAATGGTTATGGTACAGAGTTTTAAAGCCATAATTAAAACACATGCATCACCCACCAAGTTCGGTCTACTTGATGTGTGCTAAATCATTATCTGAATCCAACCACTGGTTTAAATGGTGCACTACGGCTCCATCATATTCCCGGTCTTGTCCCTAGCAGCAGCAGCCCATGTACGGTTACTCCATGCCCTCGTCAGGTCACCCTTGTGCCCGTGCTTATGGTCCACTGGCCGCGCCTCATCAGGCATCACCGGCACCCCGTCGGCACCTGCCTTGGGTGCTGGCGTGGCGGCAGCGGAATGGTCGAGGCGCATGAAGGTGGGCTGGGAGGTGGAGGAGAGGAGGCGCGCCCACATGCGGTCGGTAAGGGCCACCGACTTGGGGGCTGTCACTTGCTGTGCGTGTGAGGGAGGGAAAGGGGTTTGGGGGGGGGGGGGGGGGCGGGGGGGAGGGAGTGGGTGAGAAAGGAGTGACGTATGGATGGATGTGAGAGGGGTATTGAGTGAGAGGAGAATAGAAGGCTGCAAGAACGAGGGCCATGGGGATAGATGCATGGATGTGCGGAACTAGAATTGCAAGGAAGTTAGCCCTGTGAGTCCAGCAGGGTACGTTGACAGAGATGCCCGTTGTAGCAGGGGAGTAGGTTGTAGGACGCACATTGACAGGGATGTAGCACTGCGTGCCGTTAACGGGCCCCACAACAAACCCCGAGTAGCCAGCCATGGCGCCATGGATCGCCCCGTGGGCCAGCAGCGTGCAGTAGATGTTGTCACTGGCGTTGGCGGGGATGGCGCGGATCATGTAGGTGGGGTCTGGGGGGCGGGAAAGAGAGGCAGATGTGAAGAACAACACATTAGCCATGACCCAGCAGCATGCAGTAGATGTTGAAGAAGGAGGGTAAGATTGCAGGTGAGAGGGCGTCCATCCAGCCACACAGACCAGAAACGTTAGAAGGGGGCCGGTAAGGTGGGTGGTGAGAGGACGGGGTAAGGGATGAGAGGACTGGTCAATGGCAACGGAAAGATAGTAGTTAATTAGGAAACGGGCTCACCGATGTACTTGAGAAAACGGAAAGATAGTAGTTAATTAGGAAAGGGGCTCACCGATGTACTTGAGAAAACGGAAAGATAGTAGTTAATTAGGAAAGGGGCTCACCGATGTACTTGAGGCTGATGTCATTCTTCTTCGCCGCATTGAAGTGCTCCTGGTGGGCGCACAACACACGGCGCATGTGGCAAAGAGAAAGGCAACGGTGAGGCATGGCGTGCAGCAGAATGGGAGCATTTCTGAGAATTCTAAAAGGTGTGTCATGAGTCGATTTTTGAGTCGACTAAAAAATCGACCCATTAGGTGGGAGGAAGGGAGCATTAGGTGGGAGGAAGGGAGCACAGCACGGGAGAAAGGGAGGACAGGTGGGCACTCCCATTGCGGCAGGGAGCGCTCCCAGTGCAGCAGGGAGCGCTCCCAGTGCGGCAGGGAGCGCTCCCAGTGCGGCAGGGAGCGCTCAGCCTGACGCACCTGAAGCAGCCATTAGAGGCAGCCCACCTTGATGCGGTCCGACAGCCACAGCCCCACGTCCAGCAGCAGCGCGTTGCCCGACTTGTCCGTGCCCGCCGGTTCTTTAGGCGCCTCTCAGCCACTCAATGCACCAACCATATTCCCGCAGAAGCAAGTGCGCAAACCTTGATGCGGTCGGAGAGCCAGAGCCCCACGTCCAGCAGCAGCGCGTTGCCCGACTTGTCTTTACCCGCCCCGCCCTGCTCCACACTTTGCGCCACCAGGCTCTGCCCCGCGCCCTCCGCCACCACGATGACGCAGTGGTCGTTCTCATACAGCTTGCGCTCCATGAACTCAAACAGCCCGCCCTCCCCTGACAAGTGGAAGGGCACCTCCGGGATGAGGCAGCAATCCTGGTGGGGGAGGGGAATGGGAGAGAGTAAGGCAACACTCATCCCCACCACGATGACGTAGTGGTCGTTCTCATACAGCGTGCGCTCCATGCACTCGAATAGGCCTCCTTCCCCCATCAGCTGGAACCGCACCTTTGGGATCAGGCAGCAATCCTGGTGGGAGAGAAGGAAGGGGGGAGGAGCGGAATGGGTGAGTGTGGACTCCAACCTCTGTATCACACACTCGTCGCTTGCTCGCACAGCTTGCGCTCCATGAAATCAAACAGCCCGCCCTCGCCACTCAGATGGAAGGGCCACTCCGGGATCAGGCAGCGGTTAAGGGGAGAGCGGGGAAGAGGGGAGAGGCAGGGGCTCCAAGGCCTGAGTCTGACCCCTCCGCCACCACGTGGCGCAGCACCGGTCGCTCTCGCGCAGCTTGCCCTCCATGAACTCAAACAGCTCGCCGTTGCTGTGGCGGGGGAATGGGGCAAGGGGAGGGAGCAACAGGGCACCGATCTGACCAGCTGCTTGACACCTCCTACAAGTGAGTCGTATGCACATGCTTGCCTCTGCCTTGCTCACCCGTCTGCCTTGCTCACCCTTCTGCGCTTCTGACCCTTCCACCTCCCCCCTGCCCTCACTGCCCCCCTCTATCGCTTACCACGTCTCGGCTGGCCAGAGTGGCGTGCATGGCGATCTGACCTGGCAGCATGGGTGGGGGCAGGGGGGGGCCAAGGGGGCACCGGAGGGGAGAGCACGCATTCAGTCACGTTTGAGGTTGTAACCGGCACATCGTTGGGACACCTCACAACCAACAAGCAACTTCCCATCCCACCACACTGCACTCACCGCAGTACCTCCCCATGAGTTTCACCAGCCCCACCCCCCGGTGAGTACTGGTGACCTCCACCCGCGCGGCGCTGATGGCGCGCTGAGCCTCCTCCACCGCCGTGTCAAACCCAAACGACCGGTCGATCACCGCGATGTCGTTGTCTATAGTCTTGGGGATGCCCGCCACGGCAACTTTCAGTCCCCTCCGCCTGGTTTCCTGTGAGAAATACGAAATGAGGAGGGCATTGAGGGCAACGCATGCCTTACAAGTCACCTAAACTCGAATCATCCCGTCCCATGCCATCCCCTGCCATGCCATGCCATGCCATCCCCTGCCATGCCATGCCATGCCATCCCATGCCATCCCATGCCATCTCATGCCATCCCATGCCATCATGCCATGCCATCCCATCCCATCCCATGCCATGCCATCCCATGCCATCCCCATGCTATGTTACGACAGGCCATCCCATGGAAACCATGCCCCAGAAGGCACCCCATGCCCCGCACACCTCGTAGATGATCTCTGCGCCTCGCTGTGTGCCATCCCCGCCTATGATGTACAGCTGGCAGGGGGGGTTAGGGGAGTGAGGTCGATGGGGGGGTGGAGAGTGCTTTGAACGTCTCAGAATAGCATCTGTATGCGCTGTGTGCCGCCCCCCCTGTGATGTACAGCTGTGAGGAGGGGGGGGAGTGTTGGAACAGGAGAAGTGAAAGAGATAGAAATGAATTCATTGGGTACTTCAATTACATAAAGCACTCACATACCTGACATCAAACCTGGCAGCTCAACCTGACAGATCATCTGGGCGGCCACCTAGGAGCTCACCTCAAATTTTATGCCCCTCACCTGAGAAATCTCCTGGCACCTCACCTGGTTGATGCCTCACCTGGTTGATGCCTCACCTGGTTGATGCCGCGGTCTTCAATGGAGTTGACGATCTTGGTGGAGTCATGCCCGCCTCTGGAAGTGCCCAGGAAGGTTCCTCCGCGCTTGTGAATGTCGTTCACCTTCCACGGGTCCAGCTGCAGCAGGTTGCGGCTGTAGAAGCCGCGGTACCCGCCCTGGTGGGGGGGGAGAGAGGGGAGGGAGGTGTGGAGGTATGCGGTGAGAGGTAAGGGCGAACTGTCATGGGGCTTGCACCTTGTCGCTTCCTTCCACGGGTACAGCTGCAGCAGGTTGCAGCTGTAGAAGCCACGGTACCCGCCCTGGTGAGGGGGGGAAAGGCAAAAGGTGACTACTAACCATAGGTCTATGAGACAATCAACCACCTTGTTTTCTCCACGGGTCCAGCTGCAGCAGGTTGCGGCTGTAGAGCTCGCGGTACCTGGGGAAAGGAAGGGGTGGGAGAGAAACAAATCGGTGAGCGTGGGAACCATTGGTGCATGCATGCCTCGTAGACGACTTTTGTGGCGCCTCAAAAAGCATTGGTGCATGCCTCGTAGACGACTTTTGAGGCGCCTCAAAAAGCATTGGTGCATGGCTCGTAGACGACTTTTGAGGCGCCTCAAAAAGAATTGGTGCATGCCTCGTAGACGACTTTTGAGGCGCCTCAAAAACCATTGGTGCATGCCTCGTAGACGACTTTTGAGGCGCCTCAAAAAGCATTGGTGCATGCCTCGTAGACGACTTTTGAGGCGCCTCAAAAAGCATTGGTGCATGCCTCGTAGACGAGTTTTGAGGCGCCTCAAAAAGCATTGGTGCATGCCTCGTAGACGACTTTTGAGGCACCTCAAAAAGCATTGGTGCATGCCTCGTAGATGACTTTTGAGGCGCCTCTAAAAGCATTGGTGCATGCCTCGTAGACGACTTTTGAGGCGCCTCAAAAAGCATTGGTGCATGCCTCGTAGACGACTTTTGAGGCGCCTCAAAAACCATTGGTGCATGCCTCGTAGACGACTTTTGAGGCGCCTCAAAAACCATTGGTGCATGCCTCGTAGACGTAAACAGGGTTGGTCTCCGTGAAATCGTATTGATTCCAACAGCTTTTGCCACCTGGAAGAATGAAGCCGACCGACACAACACTGTAACAGCAATGAAATCGAATCCCCCTGTCCTTGCCATGCAACATCACAGTCTCGTCTACAACCCTCCCACATCAGCCGCCCCTCATCCCACGATACCGTACACCCATTCTAATGCACATGGCGCCCACACCAGGTCTCGAATCACATGGCTACCCCCACCCTGTCCCCTAGTGCAACCATCACCCCCCCCCCCAACCCCCCTCTACCCCCCAACCTCCCTCCCCCAACGCTCATCGATGCCGAAGATGCTCCTGACACCGCATCGGAACCACAGCGCCCACACCCACCCCTGCCCCCCATGCAGCCCTCAACCTCTATCCCCACTCCCCTTCCCCTCTCCTGACAATCCCTCTTCCCCCCCCAACGCACATCGATGCCGAAGATGCTCCTGACGCCGTAGCGGAACCACAGCGCCCACACCAGCTCGCGGATGACTGTGTTGAGCCCCGGACACAGGCCCCCACACGTCACGATTGCCGCCCGCACGTCCTGAGGCTGGAATACCACCTGGCAGACAGAGGGGGCGGGGGGTGTGGGCATTTACAGGGGGGAATCTGACTCCAGCTCGCGGATGACAGTGTTGAGCCCCGGACACAGGCCCCGGTTGCGCGCACGCCTTGAGGCTGGAACTCCACCTGATGGGGGGAAGAGGACAGAGGAGGCGGTGTTGAGCACCGGAGGACACAGCCCCCCACAGGTGACTATTGCTGCTCGCACGTCCTTAGGCTGGAACTCCACCTGATGGGGGGGGAGAGGACGGGCGGGCGGGGAGGAGGCGTGTGTTGAAGCTTGAAACCGGGGCACAGGTATCTACAGGTGACCATGGCTCCTTGCACGTCCTGGGACTAGAACGCAACCAATGGGCGGAAGGGAAGGGGAAGAGATTGTGGGGGCTAGGGGGTGGGGGGGGGAGAGGATAGAGAACACACAGGCCCCATGCGTCCCTATGGACGCCAGAACGTCCTCAGGCTAGAACACAACCCGCTGGGGAAGGAGCCCTACGGCCGAGCGCCTGCTGGGAACGCCCGCTGGGAACCCCTTGACCCCATGGCCGAGCTGCTGACCCCATGGCCGAGCTGCTGACCCCCCTGTTCCCCCTGTTCCCCCGCAGCTCACCTGTTCGCGGGGCCCTGAGCGCCTGAAGACGCGGATGTCGTCCACACTGCCCGTCTTGATGAGCGCCTGGGGGGGGGAAGCGGCAGGTGGACGAGAAGTGTTGAAGGGGCAGGTTGGAAGGGCTTGCTAGGTAGAACGAAGAGAAGATGCACGCCGGGATGCACGCCGGGATGCGCGCCGGGATGCACGCCGGGATGCGCGCCGGGATGCACGCCGGGATGCACGCCGGGGAAGGCAGACGCAACGCCATCAGCACGTGAGTGGCTTCAGTACCGCACATGAGGAACAGGCGCGTGCAACGACTCGTCTGCTTTTGAGTGGACTCGAACTAGTGGCACGAAAGACAGGAGATGGCATAAGGTGGAAAGCCACATGAGAATGAAGTTTGCTGAAAGGCAGGCGGTTGCAGAAAGGAAGCAGACCGCACAAGCATGAGAAAGGCACCTTTTGGCAGACCACATCCTCGCTGTCAACGAAGTAGTTCCTGGTGGTAGCGAGAGGAGGGGAGGAGAGGACGGGGAGGAGAGGATGGGGAGGAGAGGGGGGATGGGAGGAGGGGAATGCAGAGGAGAGATGATAGGGAAATGGGAGTGTGAAGGAGAAAGGAGACTGCTGATGGGTTTGCGGACCCTTGTGCAGAAGGAAGGGCATCGAATCGCAGTAACGAGTATGGAATCGCAGTAACGAGTATGGAATCGCAGTAACGAGTATGGAATCGCAGCAACGAGTATGGAATGGAAGAGAGGCCAAAGTTGGTGTGCTTACGCCGGTCGATTGGGGCTGCGGAGCAGCGGGTTGCTGTGCATCTGCGATTTGACGTAGGAAAAGCGGAGATCAACACAGAGACGGAGACGGAGACGGAGACGGAGACGGAGACAGAGACAGAGACGGAGACGGAGACAGAGACAGAGACGGATGCGTACAGCGAGGCCAAGGCAGTAACAGAGACACAGGCGGATGTAGACAGAGACAGAGGCACAAAACCCAAGAACGTTACACGGTGAGGGCTCGCCAGCAAGCTGACACCGCAGTGAGAAGAGAGAAAGCGACGTGCTCTTGAAATAAGAAGAAGAAGAAGAAGAAACAGTGTCTTTGTGACAACAGTACCACAACTGGTATCTACTTTGGCCCACCCCGCGTCTTCGTGCTTGTGTTTTTAAAAGCGTTTAACTAACAAATACACTGCTGGTGCGCACCTCAAGGTCAGGTATGCACTCGGAGATGTGCGGAAACGAAAAAGAGACGTCTGGATTTCACTTGAAATGCGCCTCACAGGGGACGCACCTCGAGGTCGGGGATCCACTCAGAGATGTGCGGAACGTCGTCTAAAATCACGGCGGCCCGGACACCCACGGATCCCCTACGCTGCTGTTCTCGCCTCACGCTGGGACCACAACCGGAGCTGCCTATACCGCGTCCCTGTTGACGACGCGACGACCGTAAAGTCGCCGATCCGTGGCTCCATACTCCCGCGCGGCTCCATGCGATCTGACTCGCTACCGCGGGTAAACTGGAGTTGATGTCTCCTGTGGGATTCCTAGAGGGACAATTCTGGATAATAGGATTGTGGAGGGTGCTACTCTGAAGCAGCGCTGAGGCGCTGCAGGAAGACATACTCAAATTTCACGTTGGGAAAAAGAACTTCGGAGCAAAACGCAGTAACAATGTGGTACGATGCTATGCTACACGTGCTGATGTGTTGACAGCGAATCCTAACGCTAGAGGGCTTGGCGTGTCCTGAGCGGTACCCTCGAAGCCAGTGAAATAGGTCTTAGGATGCACTGCGACAGCCTTCTGTTCCTAAGGTTTCCTTACATCATAGCAGTCAGAAGGGTTCGGCACTACGCCTTTGACGGTCTGAAGGAATGGCCGATGCACCCCTGGCAGTCAGAGGCATAGCGATTGGCTGCTACAACTGGGTCAGTCTGTCAGTCAGAGTGACTGGTCGGTGTTCCCAAGGTTGCAGGAGAGATTCTGGGAAAGGAAAAGTCGAGCGAAGTCGACCTCTTGGTGCCGAAGAGTCGCGATTTTGGGGAAGGAAAGGGTTCAGTATATCTGGTTACCCTTCGCGCAGCCGCAAGGCAACGTTGCGAAGCGAAGGCCATGACCCTTTCGTGCCGAAAAGGCGCGTAGATAGTTGTAACAGTCGTCGTGCATAGCTGATGCCAAATGATCCTGTCAATGCCAAATCGGTAGTCGCTAAAGCAAATGTCACGCATAACATTACTAGGCCAATTGTGGCCGAGATGGTGTTTGAAATGACATACAATAAACAAGATTTATGCTAAAAACTATTGTAAGCGGCTGAGTGGCGATTGGGGCTCACAAACTTCTACAATTGAATGCACGTTTCAAGCACAATTCGAGCAAAAGCAGCACTTTCAAGCAGCCACCTGGGCAGCTGCGGAGACTGGGAGAGAGGCAATGGCAGCAGCAACGTCCTTGGCACTGATACCAGCGAGGCTGCCCGATGCAGACGCAACCACTGTGCACTTGCGGTCAGCAGCATCAGGCACAAAGAGAGCAGCCTTGTCCGACGAACCAAAGAGAGCCACGCTGGACAACAAAACAATAAATTGGGGGGTAGTACAATATCAAACAGGATTCAGAAGCCATCCAGCATCAGACAAGACAAGGTCATTCTATTCAATGGCGGTTGTTACAGAATGTATCTACCTACCTAGCCTAACTTGTGAGAGTGGTGAACTGACCTTGGCTTTCTGAGAGCGGTGGCGAGTTGCACAGCGGCGGTGTTTGTGGTGACCACAGCAGCCGCATCGTCAATGGCAGCAGCGAGCTGCAGCAGGGGGGGTGGGGTGGGGGGGAGGGGAGCATTTGTGGGAGATGGGTCAAGGGTTGAGTGAGTGAGAATCAGAGGTGAAAACCAGAGGTGAGAACCAGAGGTGAGAATTAGAGCACCAACACCGAGTGCCATGTCCAATAAGGGAAGCAGAGGGCCAAGAAGTTGTGTCTCGCTACCTGCCCCGCCCTGCCCGTTCTCCGGCCCTACACCCTGCAAACCGACACATTTCATGCTGCCCTGCTGCAGCATACATGAAGTGTTCCGCCTGATTCCGTGCTTGCCACACCCGTCCCCATGCGGTGATCGTGATCCTGGCAGAGGGCACAACGCCCTGTACCTTGCTCCCTCCATCCCTCCATATCTTCATGCCCACACATCCCCGTACGTGCCTCCGTACCCCATACATACCTGCATACCCCGTGCACATGTGCACACCCCCATGCGCTTGCATGCATCCCATGCCACACCTGGCCCTCCGATCTTGACGAGCTTAGTTGAGGGCACAGCGCTCTGTATCTATCTACCTCCACAACCCTGTGCACACCTCTGTGCCCCCATGCACTCCTCCATACCTTGTGCATGCATGGCGTACCTGGCCTGGCGTGGTGATCTTGACGATCTTGGCCGAGGGCACAGCGCCCTGCACCTTGTCTTGATCCGCGTCGTTGGGGACCACCACCAGTAGGTCGCCGCTGGGGGGAGAGAGGGGAGCAGAGGGAGGAGAGAAGAGGGAGGAGAGAGGGTAGCTGAATTGAGGAGGGCAGAGGGGCAGTGACTGCACACAACGCCATGCACCCTGGCTGATCAGTTGACGCAACAGGTCTCGAGGCTCGAAAACGCAACAGGTCACAGATCGAAAACGCAACAGATCTCGAGGCTCTTTGAGAGAAATACCGACAGAGACAGACAGACAGACAGACAAACAGACAGACAGACAGACAGACAGACAGACAGACAGACAGACAGACAGACAGACAGACAGACAGACAGACAGACAGACCGTCAGTTTGCCCGTACCTGACACTCTTGGCGATCTCCGCTAGCAGCCCCAGGGATAGCGCGCTGTCCGCGTCCCCGCGCGACCGCATGGACGCGGCGGACGACGACTCCACGCCGTGCACCAGCGTGTACGCGCCCGGCGCCACCCCTGCTGCGGCGGTCTTCCCCCGGGTGACGTCCTTGACCTTGCGCGGGATGTTCACCTGCAGCGGCGGCAGGTAGAGCGCCGGGCCCCCACGGACCGGCTGCAGGAGGAACTCGATCAGGTCCTTGTACCTGGCAGGCGGGGGTGGGGGCGGGGATGGGAGGGTGGGGGAGGAAGCGGTGGGGGGGAAGCCTTCTGAGAGCCTGTCAGTTAGAGGCCGGGGCGGCGGGGCTGTGGCTCCAGGGGGAATCGACAGCGCCATGCTCATTCCCCCAGGCGAAGCGCTGTGCGGGCAGATCACCGCCACGCTCATTCCCTCTTCGAGTGTGGCTCGGCCCTATCCCTCTTTCGACTCGAATGCGTGACTTGAACTGAGCTCTTCGGCCCTTCTTCGGCCTGTGACCAGCTGTCTCTTACACGAGAGGCGAGCGCCGATCACCCTGCCTGCCCCTGCTCGACACTCGCACTCGAGTCCGCCACTAGCCCCTTCTGTCGCGACCTTATCCTCCCCTTGTGCCTCGGCCTCATCGAATCTACCTCCCCTGACCCTTCCCTCCCGCGCATCTACGTCCTCCCCCATCGCCGCCTCCGCGTCCCCCTTCACTCTCCCCCGCCTCCGCCAGCTTTCCGCACCCACGGCCTGCGGATCCACTGACATGCTACAGCCGTCCTATCGTCAGGCGCTCAAGCTACTCACATGCTGTAGCCGTCCTTCGCGAGGTGGGTTCGCGTTCTCCGTGCGCGGGAACTCTGAGGCACCTCCACACACGCCTACGCACCCCTCTCAAGTCCACCACCTACCCATCGATCCTCGCACTCGCATGCCGTAGCCGAGCCGTCCGCGCGGACGACGCTTGAGAGGAATACGCCTCTGTCCCTCTTGTCCCTGTCCCTCTGCTGCGACATCTCACATTCCCTCGCGCACTGCAGCCTTCCCATCCTGTGGTGATTCCTCGCACTCATATGCCATAGCCGTCCTATACTAAGGCGCATCAAACCACTCACGCGCCGCATTCTAAGGCGCGCCAATGCACTCACATGGCGTAGCCGTCCTCCGCGAGGTTCTCCTTCTCCGTGCGCACGGCGTTGGAGAGGAACACGCCCGCACCGGCGCCACTGGCGTTGGGGTTGACGTACGACACGCGCTGGCGGGCGTCGGAGAGAAACAGGAACATGGCGTGGCCCAGCCCCGCCAGTCTGGTGGATAGCACCAAGTCGTACACCTCGTTCTGGGGGGGAGGAAGAACAGGGGGTGGACAACGGGACGGGTGGAAGCGATCATTGGGCCGTCGGAGGGGAAGAGGAACATGGCGTGGCCCAGCCCCGCCAGTCTCGTCGACAACACCAAGTCGTACACCTCGTACTGGGGGAGGAGGAAGGGAGGGGGGGAAGAGGAGGCCAGGGGACAGGAGGGGGCAGGGGGACGGGAGGAAGGGATCAGTGGGGCGACGGAGGGGAAGAGGAACATGACGTGGCCCAGGCCGACCAGTGTGGCAGAGAGCACCAAGTCGTACACCTCGTTCTGAGACGGGAGGTAAGCGGGGACTGGGGGGATAGGGGAATGGGGGAGAGGGAATGGGGGGATAGGGAATGGGGAAGAGGGGAGACGCTTGAGTGGGGCGCGCTGGGCGCCGGAGAAGGGGAACATGGTGAGGCCGAGCCCCGCCAGTCTGGCGGATAGCACCAAGTCGTACACCTCGTTCTTGGGGGGGGGGAGGAGAGGAAGGGGAAAAGGGGAAGGAAGCCAGGGGAAGTGGGGGAGAGGGGAGACGCGTGAGTGAGGCGCGGTTGCGGGCGACGGAGGGGAAGAGGAACATGGTGAGGCCGAGCCCCGCCAGTCTGGTGGATAGAACCAAGTCGTACACCTCGTTCTGAGAGGGTAGAACAAGCGCGGGGGTGTGGAGAGGAGAGGGTGAGGAGAGGAAATTGCAGACCGGCCGTCTGGCCGACAGCACTAGATGGTACAGCTCGTGCTGGGAGACAGCACTAGATGGTACAGCTCGTGCTGGGAGACAGCACTAGATGGTACAGCTCGTGCTGGGAGACAGCACTAGATGGTACAGCTCGTGCTGGGACAGCCTGGGACCGACGCGATCGGCGCGGGAAAAGGGGGTGAGAAGGGTGGAGGGAGACGGGAAGGGTATCTGGAGAGGGGATCCTGGAGGTGGATTGAGAGGATGGGGACGGGGGCAGGAACGGGGACGGGGACGGGGACGGGCCAATGCAGTGAGGAGCGACAACTCGCGAGGCGCAGCCATGAGGTTGGAGACCCCTGATTGAACTCGCAGCAAACACAGAATGCAGGAAGCAGCTAGCAGCAGGGGGCAGAACATGTGAAGAATCACCACTGACACATCACTCTCTGGATTCGCTGCAACCAGCCGATTAGGGAACATTCTCACCTTGAGCTTGCCCAGGAACTCGGTGTACTCGGCGGGAGTCACGAACGGATCCTCGGGATCGTACACCCACGCGCGCCGTACGTTCTTGTTGATCTCGTACGTCTGCTTGCCACGTGGCGGAGCCGCCACGTCGATCTTCACGCCGGGGTACTTCTCCTTGAGCAGCGAGATCACCGGGAAGAACAGAAGATTCTCGTACACGCCGCCGGCGACAAGAATCGCGCAGCTTCGCACATCGTCGCGAATGTACAATCCGAGAGATGCTATTTCCGGGTTGTGGCCAGGCGGAAACTTGAGCCAGCCGGCGTCGGAGGAGGTGTCGGTGGGGGGACGGGGGTCGACGGCGTCTTGCTTGCCGGACGACAGCAGATCGCCGTACTCCAGGTCCGGATCCTCGCCGTAGTCGAACGGATCGTCGAACATTCTCTTGCCAGACTGTGCGACGACCGAGCGACGAGCGGATGACGACGTCGCTCTGCTGCTCTTCTTGCTGGTTAAGCTAGCCCTTGCCGTCACCGGACCAGTCTGTACCCTGGACGAGATTTTAACCATTCCTTCGCATCCCGCCTGAACGGGAGCGGCTGGACTGGACGAGGAGAGGACGGGGGATCCGAGCAGGTCTGATTGCAACGGTCCATGGCTCCTCTGCTTAGCCACCGCATTCCCCGCGAGGGAGAGGTTGGCCAATGGACGCGTCAACGCAGCCATTTCTACGAGCAGCTAGAATGTACCTCCTACTCTGCTGCTGCTGCTGTTGATTCTATCCAAGGGTCAGTGCTGGCTGCAGCCCTGACAGGGCGAGTACCAGCCTTCGCAAAAAAGAAAATATGTGGCTTGGTCTAGGAGGTGGAAAAAGATCAAAGCTAGGGAGATCTTTGATTTCCGCCTCCTGGTTGGAAAGCTGGCTGGATGGATGGGTCCTGCTACTGGCCTGCTGGAACTTGGACAAGGAAAACCCTTGGAGATTATCCCGTCTTCGGGCAGCCTTGGGATTGGTGTTTCCCGCATTCGCCAATTGTTCAGGCGTTTGCGACAGTGGATCCGCCTCTCTGCGAAGGAGGGGCTGGATTATGGGGGTGCGTCCTCCTGGCGAAACAACGACGTAGGTTGACGAAACGAGAGTGGTCATGGGTTGGATGACGTGGGTAACTTGACGTCAGACGGAGCTGTGTTTGTTGAAAGATCGCACAGGAGAGGCCACAGCTGCTGGGAAGTGGGAGCAGGTGAGGGGTGGGTCACAGATTTTGCGAACGGATCGAGAAGGGAAACCCGCTCGTCTGGTGAATTTCGCAGTGGCATGAATGTAGGCGAAATTGCGGCCAGAGTGCTGGTGGATGAGTCCACGTGGCAAACTAATCTCAAGGATTTGTGGTTTGGACGGGCCTGATGATGTAAACTCGATATGGGGAGACTTGGATGGATGATAACGCGACATCAAAGATTTCATGACCCGGTTTACTAAACAGCAACGTCATGAAATGGCTTGTTAGTTATATTATGGTTGTTGAGGTGATGAGCAAACATGAACCCTTCAATACAATGAGAAAAGTGTCTTATAGCAGCCTCAAGGTGTTGGGCATGCGAACTCAACAGCAAATTTCGGTGAAGTTCTTGATTAACGTTGTACACTCCACAAACATCTACACTTCTACAACCAACAGACTGCACAGTGGTACATCCACTCATCAACTATAAAACATAAATATTCACGATGGCACCCCATGAATGACCGATGCTGCAGCTATTGCCTATGACAATCTCAACTCTCAAACCCAGCCGAGCTCTGTGCTGTGAATGGCAACCTTCCCATCTCCTGCACTCCCATTCCACAGTTTGACCAGCTGGGTAGACAAAAATGTGCACAGCTCATCACAGGCACACCAATCACTAATATGCTCCACCAGACAGCCACTTGCACTCCTAGCAGACACGCCTACAAGTTAACCCGGCTCCTCTGTTCCCACATCCTCCCTCAGGCATGTTCACACCACGTCCATACATAATCATGAACATCGCGTGCACACCATGCTTCTACTCCCCATCCTCCCATGCCTTGTCGCACATGAGATCCTACTCCCTGCTACCCACCCTCCCCTGCTCCCTCCAGGCTCTGCGCTGCTGCCAGTCCAGTCCCCTAGGCCAAGGAGAGCACAGGATGCTTGCATGGGAGGCGCCTAAGAAACCAGTCTTTTCTAGGATTGAGCTGCATCCAGCCCGCCACCGCACTTCCAGACCAAGAGCCAACGCTCCTCTGCTTGATTGCGGACCCCAGGTGTCCCAACGCTCCCTTGCCCCCCTCTAGGGTACTGCCCTAAGGCAATGCCGTTCTAGTATGGCCCTTGCTGTTGCGCTGCTTCCAGTCTTGAAGCGTGGAGCGCACGACGTGGTTGAGAATGTGGCATGTGTGTGCTCCTGAGGCGTTCCAAACCCTTCCTCCTTCCACCTCCACTCCTCTCTCCCTCTCCAACCCCTCCCCCCTCATTTCCCGCTCCGTCCTAAGGCACCGCCCTGCGGGCAGCCTTTAGCCATTGCTACTGCCAGTCCATCCCTTAGCCGTTGCGCTGCCCCCAGTCCTGAACCACGGAGCGCATGGCGTGGTTGGTCACGAGGTCCTTGCTCGGCAGCTAAGGCGTTCCACCCAACACCCCCTCACCCCCTTCTCCCCCCTCTTTCCCCCCCCCTAAGGCACTGCCTGATGGCAGTCCTTAGCCGTTGCGCTGCTTCCAGTCTTGGATCATGGAGCGCACGGCGTGGTTGGGCACGAGGTCCTTGGAGGGCAGCTTCTGGTTGGTCATGGGCGACATGTCGCTCGTCTCCAGCCACGACCTGATCGCCTCCTGCTCGTACGTGTGCCCGTCCGCTGCCAGCACGGGGTTCACCATCATCTCCTGTGGAATGCAATGGGCGAATGGGGAGGAATGGAGTCGCAGTGAGGAGGAGAGTGGGCGACATGTCGCTCGTCTCCAGCCACGACCTGATCGCCTCCTGCTCGTACGTGTGCCCGTCCGCCGCCAGCACCAAGTTCGCCATCAGCTCCTGTGGAGTGCAATGGGCGCATGGGGAGGAATGGAGTCGCACTGAGAGCATGTCGCTTGTCTCCAGCCACAGGGTTCACCATCATCTCCTGAAAGGGTTGCGTAGTTAGAAGGAAAGAGAGGGAGGAGAGAGCGAGAGAGAGAGAGAGAGAGAGAGAGAGAGAGAGAGAGGGAGGGAGAGAGAGAGAGAGAGGGGGAGAGAGAGAGAGAGAGAGAGAGAGGGAGAGAGAGAGAGAGGGAGAGAGAGAGAGAGAGGGAGAGAGAGAGAGAGAGAGTGAGAGAGAGAGAGAGAGCAGATAGAGAGAGGAGATAGAGAGGAGAAAGAGACGGTAGAGAGAGAGAGATAGAGGGGGGGGGATGAAGTGGAGAGTACTCGTATGTGGGGCCGTTTGCTGCCAGCATGGGGTTCACCATCATCTCCTGTGGAATGCAATGGTTGGATGGGGGAGAAGAGGGAAGTTCACCACCTCCCCATCTTCACACGTCATCCCCTCTCGCTTGCTTCAGACGGTCTTTCCCAAAAACTCGAATAATTGAGCAGAGAAAAAACCTTCTCCCTAGCCACCTTCACCCACCCAACCACCCACCTGAGTGATGGGGCAGAAGAGCACGCTCGGGGCTTCAGCCATGGGCCTTCGGCTCGGGGCCTTCCGCGCCTCCTCCTCCGCCTTGGCGGCCCGCGCCCTGGCCCTATCCAGCACGGGCATGACCTGCTTCTCCAGGTCCGGCCGCTTCTTCCTTCGCATCTCCGAGCACTTCACTGCGATCCGCGCCACCTCCATCACCATATCCAGCGGCCAGTCTCCCGCTTTCTCGTCCAGAAACTGCTTCAGCTCGCCCTCGTCCCCATCGTCCACAGCCTCCTCTAGCCCCTCGTACACGTTGGGCTTCCTCCCAGTCAGCAGGTCCAGCAGCACGATCCCCAGCGCGTAGACGTCCGACTTGGGCCCGAACTCGCCGGTGCGCTGGAACTCGGGGTCGACGTACGCGAAGGTGCCCACGGGGACGGACTCCCTCATGTACGTCTGATCCATGGAGAGGCCCGGCATCAGCTTCGCCAGCCCTACATCCCCCAGCTTCGCCACAAAGTTTTTGTCCAGGAGGATGTTCCCAGGCTTTAAGTCGCGGTGCACAATGGGCACGGGGCGCGTGTGCAGGATGAGGAGGGCCGAGGCGATTTCGGCCGCCACGCGCATGCGGATGTACCAGGGGAGGGGCGGCGAGCCGTTGGCGCAGAGGAGGCGGTCCTCGAGGGAGCCGTTGGCCATGAACTCGTAGACGAGGCAGTACTTGCTGGGGCAGCACCCCAGCAGCATCACGACATGGGGGTGCTGGATCTGGCTCAGGACTTCCACCTGGTGGGGCGGGAGGGAGCGGGGGAGCAAGAGGTGCGAGCCACATGAGGGGTCCTCGAGGGAGCCGCTGGCCATGAACTCGTAGACGAGGCAGGACTTGCTGGGGCAGCAGCCCAGCAGCATCACGACGTGGGGGTGCTGGATTTGACTCAGGACTTCCACCTGATAGTGGAGAGGGGGGAGGGGAGGGAGGGGATGGGGGGGTTGGGGGGTTGGGGGTGGTGCTGGCATGACAAGAGGGATCTCCAGGCGCCCAGCAGCATCACCACGTGGGGGCGCTGGATCCGACTCAGTACCTCCACTTGATTAGGGGGGGAGGGGGAGGAAGGGTCGGGGAGGATGTGCGGCGTCTGATTGAATTGGCTTTCTTTTCACCACGAGGAGGTGCTGGACCCGAGGGAGAGGCGAGGTGAGCGCATGGAGCAAAGGAAGGGTCTTGGAGACTCCAGCAGCATCCAATGATACTCACAGGATGCAAGGCCCAAGGGCCTCACCTCCTGCTGGAACTCGTTGGCTGCCTGCATGGAGTCCACGCTCTTGAGCAGCACCTTCACCGCCACTGGCGTGTGGTGACCAATACTCAATGTCAGCTGAGAAAACCTCACCTCTGCCACAAACGTGCCATCACAGAGACCCATCCTCTGCTGGCATGCACCGGCGGCTCACCTCCTGCTGGAACTCGTTGGTGGCCTGCATGGCGTCCGCGTCCTTCACGGTCACGGGCGTGTGGTGCAGCGTGCCTTTACTCCCTGCCTTGCACTGCTTTCAACGACTTTCACAACCCAACCAGACTCGACCATTCACCACACATGCGTACCTCCTGCTGGAACTCGTTGGCGGCCTGCATGGCGTCCGCGTTCTTGAGCACCTTCACTGCCACGGGCGTGTGGTGCAGCGTGCCTGAGAACACCGTGCCAAACCCGCCCTCGCCCAGCTTGCGCTCCGGCTTGAAGTTCTCCGTTGCAAACTGACGGGGAAGGAAGGGGGGTTGGGGGGTTGGGGGTGGAGAGTGGAGGGTGGGGAGGGGAAGAAATGGGAGGCCGGATGTTGTTTGTGCATAGCTGCCGCCAGCCGTTGTTGCAAACCTCGCACCCCCAACCCATCACCAAGCCAGCCCCCGACTTACCACACCACCCCGCTGCCACCTCCCCAGTGCGCCCAAACGCCCTCATAGTTGAAGGAACCAGCCCACTCACCACAATCCCCTCCTAGCTCTCCCAGCCCACTCACCACAATGTCCTCGTAGCTGTAGTCTCTATAGTTCGCCGCCATGCGCCCGCTGCCGCGCTCCCCCTTGGCCTTAGCCTCCACCTCGACCCTCTTCTTCGACTCTAGCTCCAGCGCGGCCCGTGTCATCGCGGCCTGTTTCATCGCCACCTCCGTCTTCTGCGCCTCCAGCCCCGCCTGCTTGCGCGCCTCCTCCGCCGCTGCGATCGCACGCGACGCCTCCTGGGACGCCATCTCGATGCGCACGGCCGTCTCCAGCTCGCGCCGCTTGTTCTGCGCCTCCACCTCGCGCAGGGACCGGTCCGCTTCCGAGAGGGCGCGCTGGGCGCGCTGCTCGGCTTCCAGACGTGCATGCTCCGCCTCTGCTGCTCTTTGCCGCATCAGCTCGAGCTCCCTGCGCAGGTCGATCTGGGGAGTTGCATGTGTCCGGGGGAAGGGAAGGGGGGGGGAAGGGAAGGGGGGCACAGGGGAGTTGAACGCTGTAGCGCGCAGGGAGCGGTCGGCTTCCGAGAGGGCGCGCTGGGCGCGCTGCTCGGCTTCCAGACGCGTTGCTCTAGCTCGCGCCGCAGGTCGACCTGATAGGGTTGTGTGCGAGTAGGGAGGGGGAGGGAAACGCGGAAGGGGGGTGAGTGGAAGGGAGAGGAGGGGTGGGGTGAGAGGGGTGCGGGGCAGGCTTAAGGAGGGATGAGGAAGAGGGTGCGCGGATCACCGTTTCCCACACACCTTTATCAGCTCCCAAGACAACCACGCGCCCCTCACCTCATTGGCGCTCTGCCCGCCGCTTCCGCCAGTTGCAGGCCCATCCGGAATAGGCGCGGGGACGGGCGCGGGGTACATCAGCCGCGCCTGCATCTCCCCGGACCCCGCCCCCGAAGCTGGCGCTCCAGCGCCCCCGGGGGACCCCGTCCCGCTCCCCCCGTCCCCCCCGAGCTGCAGCCCCGCGAGGGCCGCGCGCGCCTTAGCCATGCGGGTCTGGAGGTCGGACATGAAGTCCTGCTGCTGCTGGTAGGTGGCAGCCTGGTTGGACTGCTTCCACGCGTCGAATTCCGCCATGTAGTCCGACTGCAGCCGCTGCCCCTCCTGGCTGTTCGCCGCCTGCGACCACGCCAGCGCCGACAGCGCCGCCGCCTGCTGGATATCGTTCGGCCCGCCTGGGCCCTTCGGCGCGGATCCTCCCCCTCCGCCGCCTCCCCCGCCTCCCGCGCCCCCCCACTGCCCGTCCGCTCCGGCGTCCATGGAGAAGCGGGTCCCGCCGGGGGCGAGTCCGCCGCTTCCCCCGCCTCCTGCTGCGGGGCCGCCGTAGGCTGGCTGGAGCGTGCCGGATCCCGAGGGGCTCGACTCGTTGCTGCCGTAACCCCTCCTCACCCCTGGCGCATACCCCCCCGCTCCGCGCATGTCCCCGTGACCCCCGCCTGCGCCCCCCCAGCCCCCGGGTTGCTGCGCGCCAGAGCCGCGCGGTGGGTACTGCTGCTGCTGGTGCTGCGCGTACTGCTGCTGCTGCTGCGGGTACTGCCCGTACATCTGCGCCTGCTGCTCCCCGCTTCCGCCGCCGCCGCCGCCGCCGTACGGGGTGTAGCCTCTGGGCGGGTAGCCACCATCGTCGTATTCTCCACCTGACAAAGGAAATGTCAATAAAATCTTATCGCGTACATTCTCATCCCCCACCATTCGCAGAACTCCTCACACCAATAACGAGCACATCACTCCTCGCACCAGTTACTCTGCTCGCTCGCAACTTTTCCACTCACCCTGCTCGCTGAACGCGCCGCTGTACGTGGGCTCGAGGGTCCCCGAGCCGGACCCCCCCGGCGGGCCCGGGCGCGGCAGCATGACGCCCGACCCCGCGGGGCTGCCGGTGGAGGAGGAGGCGGGCGAGCCCTCTGCCTCCTTGAAGAGGATCACCTTGTCGCGTTGAATCACGTACACCGATATGCCCGGCGGCTTGTACCGCACGCAGTACGCGCCCGTGCTAGATGACTTGCCGCGCCTGGGGGAGGCGGAGGGGGGAGAGGGGACGGGGCAGGCGGAGGGGGGAGAGGGGACGGGGCAGGCGGAGGGGGGAGAAGGGAAGGAGAGGTGGGATAAGGGCACGGGCTGGGGGGATGATGCGAGCATGATGGTTTGTCGCGAGCCATGCCGCCTCTGAACTTGCGTCGCGAGCGAAAAGAGGAGGCGTGAGAAAAGCACAGAGCGGAAGGCGGATGGCGATCGCACGTCACCGTGACGTGCAACTGAAGGAGGGCGGCAGGTTTCGTCGTGTTCTTTCACGGGCAGCATGTCACGAGCAGCGCTCGGCGAAGGGGATGGTCGTTAAGAAATTCGAGGGGTAAGTTTTTACATGCCGAGTGAGTCTCTTACATGCTGAACATGCCTCTGGCGTTGGTGCCGATAACGAGCGACGTGGCTTTAAGCTTCTTCGATTCCTCCACAATGCCCTTCTCCCGGGAGTTGTTACGCCCCACCTTCAGCTCCAGCTTGATCTGCCAAGGGGAAGGTCGCAAGGAAACCGAAGGGATCGGTAAGCAATGATGCGTTATGGTTAAAAGAGAGCCATCATTGTTATATATAGGGCTATCATTTCGGCTGAAAACCGAGTTATGACCCAGCGGGAGGGCAGGCGTGCTAACCTTGGGGTCGACGACCTTTTTGAGCGACAGCATCATGGGCTGCACGACGGTGCGCACGTAGTGCACGAACATGGTGTTGTTCACCTCGCTCTGGTACATCTCCGCGCCTGCACGGCGCAATGCGATGTACAGTCAGAACAGGACGAGCAGGAAGAGCACGAAGAGCAGGCAGGAAGAGCAGGAAGAGCCGGCAGCATAGAGAGCAAGGGTTCAACACGCACCTGCTCCACCGCGGGCTCCGGCGCCGTACGTCCCCATGTCTGCAAATACAATCCGAACGATATCGTGACAAGAATCATTAGGAGAATTTTGTGCCAGTGTTTTTTACTCTGCTTAGAAACGACATCCAACAAGGAGTGGACGTGGAAACGGCAGCATCCTTAGGCGAACACTGCACATTCCGACGAGCACTATTCGGATTGAAGAGTAATACTCACTGGGGCTTGGGATCTTAGTGACGACGTGAAGCAGAATAAGGATGTCATCGGGACTCCGTAGCTTATTCGTGATAGCCCACTTAATCGCGTCTTTACACGAGGGGTCCTTGCTCACACCGACGACTACTCGCTCTCCGCCGAACTCGAACCCATCCCCGGGAGCCATTGCTAGAAGCACCTGACCGGTAGAACCGTGGAGCTACGCGGAAAGATTAAGAGCTTCGCATCTAGAGGTTGAAATGACGAAATACCGCAGAAGGCACACTAGGAGAATGTTTGCTCCTTATAATTTAAGCTAAGACGATAGTTCAAGGCGCAACCTTCTGCAGGAGAGCGAAGGAACGGTAGCATCAGTATTGAAAGCTAATGTCAGCGTTGTGAAGCAGAAACAGTCGGTTGAGGTGCCAGTGAAATATGTACCGTCTAGCAGGCTGGAGGACAGACGTAACAAGCAGATGCGCTACCGTCAGGAGGTTTGAGGTTGGCACTGTATTCTCACTGAGAAACCAAGCGGATGAGGTAGGAGAAACGGAGCAAGAGCAATGGATGAGGTTGAGTAGCCTGGGGAGTTATCTGGGGAGGGAGTCCTTGATAAAGCAACCTTCGAGGGGTTCTCAGGGCATGTCTCGCGCGTACGTCTGATTGCGGTTGGATGAGATGCTTTACGCGTCAGAAGGTTACAAAACGATTAGAAACGTTTGGGTAGGGTATTAAGTGACAAACGTACGTGCAGAATCCTCTTCGGACAGGGACCTTCAGGGACCCTCGATGTTGGTGCAGGACAGTACAGTATCCTCGTTCCTTTGGAGCACAGCTTCCCCGCTTCCCTCCTCTTATTGGTGCCGGGCGACACTTTATCGAGGGATATGCTGAGCGTGTTATCATGCAGAAGGGGATTTCAGCTCGGGACAGTTTTGGTTGATTATTTCTACCGTGGGATTGGTTGAGAAATGGATGTTTGTTCCATTCCAGACCGAAAGGGCAGCAGCCGGGAGCTGGGGAAGTGGAGAAAATATCTCGTTGGGTAGGGTGGGCGGTAAAAGCATCCTGGTTCACATACCCCGCCAACACCTACCGCTTGTGATTGGTTTAGATAATTTGCGCCAAAAGCTGGTAGCTGTAAGAAATGCAGCCTACAAAACATTGTTTGGATCACAAATACGTACCTAATCTAAAGCAATCCTATAAAGCAACTTGTAAGACCAAGAGGGGCTGATTAGACTAAATCTCATGCACAGCTCACAACCGTATACACGTTTGTCATCATACATAATCAGACAACCGCTGCCATTGAAGAAGGGATCCCATGATGTTTGGAGTATTCTGAAATAACGACCACCTGAGTAGTCCAATCACAGCATCCGTCCGTCCGTGCACTCCCGCAAGTGGCTGCGGGAGTCAGGGGGGCTGCAGAAACAGCCAAAACACAGCAGTAGCAGAACACGGCTCATGCGCTATCACAATGAGCATGGTTAAATCTCCGAAATCAAACGAGAGCTAAGGGGTTGAGATTCGAAGTTGACATGAGCGAGTCACGAATATCTGTGTCTGAGACTTCCCCTCAATTCAGACGTAGAGTCTGACACTCCTCCCCCCTCCCCCTGAACTTACGTTATGGTCAGACAGACACCCACCCTCCTCACTCAATTCACGCCTTCGATTTCGAAACCCAGCCTCTCTAACTTGAATTGCAGTGGGGCATGATACCCACCTATCCCATTCAACTCATACAATCAAGGTCTGTCTGAATACCACTTACACTTTGGATCTGAATGAACTTGTCGTTTCCACCCAACTTAACACCTCAGATCTGAAGAACGCCCTTCCTACCAGCTCTGAAATCCCCCCTCCCCACTCAACTTTACACCTGGGATTAGAATAAAACCCACCCTGTAACCTGACTTACAATGGGGTCTGCTACCTGCCTTTCCCACTCAACTTACATCAAACGATTGAAACCTAACCTTCCCCAGTCTCACCCCTCACCTGTCTCACCTCCATCCTTGGAGCCTGAAACCACCCCCTCACCCCTCTACCTCTTTACTTGGGGCCTGAACCCCCCTCACCCTTCTACCTCTTTACTTGGGGCCTGAACCCCCCTCACCCCTCTACCTCTTTACTTGGGGCCTGAACCCCCCTCACCCCTCTACCTCTTTACTTGGGGCCTGAACCCCCCTCACCCCTCTACCTCTTTACTTGGGGCCTGAACCCCCCTCACCCTTCTACCTCTTTACTTGGGGCCTGAACCCCCCTCACCCCTCTACCTCTTTACTTGGGGCCTGAACCCCCCTCACCCCTCTACCTCTTTACTTGGGGCCTGAACCCCCCTCACCCCTCTCACCTCTTTACTTGGGGTTTGAAACCCCCTCACCCCTCTCACCTCTATACTTCAGTCCACTTGCGGTCTACTTGGGGTCTACTTGGGGTCTGAAAACCCCACTGGCTTGCCTCCCCTTCTAACTTGGGGTCTGAAACCCCCTCCCCTACCTTGCACTGTTACTTGGGGTCTGAAACCCCACTGGCTTGCCTCACCCTCTAACTTGGGGTCTGAAACCCCCTCCCTTACCTTGCACTGTTACTTGGGGTCTGAAACCCCCTCCCCTATTTTGCACTGTTACTTGGGGTCTGAAACCCCCTCCCCTACCTTGCACTGTTACTTGGGGTCTGAAACCCCACTCGCTTGCCTCACCCTCTATCTTGGGGTCTGAAACCCCCTCCCTTACCTTGAACTGTTACTTGGGGTCTGACACCCCACTGAACCCCCCTCACCAGTCTCACCTCCTTACTCCGGGTTTGAACCCCCCTCACCCCTCTCTACTTGGGGTCTGAAACCCACTCACCCCTCCCACTCACCTCTACACTTGAGGACCGACCCCCCCGCTTGTCTCACAACTCACTAACTGGCAGAGGGGCAGGGGCTGTGGCATCAGGCACTCCATGCAGCATCATCATGTGCCGCCCCCGCCCATACCCAGTCCTCACACCAACCCAACCCATGTCCCACTCAACTGACCCTCGGGGTATGACGCCCACCGTTCCCACTCAACTTTCACTCGGCGTCTGACACCCCGAATCAACTTCCATACGGGGTATAAAACCCCTGCCTTCCACTCAACTTCCCTGAACCTTGAAACCTCCAGACACCCAACTTAGACCTTCGGTTTCAAACCGACCCCTCAAACTTGACTTACACTCGGGGTCTGATACCCCTTCTCCACTCCAACTTACACTCGGGGTCTGGCACCCCTTCCCCACTCACCTTACACTCGGGGTCTGAACCCAAAAGCTCTGCTCAACCAGCACTTGGGGTCTGAAACCCAGCCTCCTGCTCAACTTGGGGACTGCACCCCCTCACTTGGGTTCAGCGGCTGAACCCTTCTCGCCTTCCTCACCTTCTGCTGGAGGCCTGAGACCCCCCTCCCTTGCAGACAGGAGGATTGGAAATCCCAAGGTAAGGCGATTGAGAGGCAAGAGAGGGGGATGAGACCTACAAGCTACGGCGAGCCAAAGTCAGAGAGGGGGGGACCCCCTGCCTTTCGCTCACCTTGACTTGAGGGGTCTCAATCCCCCTCTCCCCCCCTGCCCCTCGCCCGCCTTACTATGGGAATTCCAACACCCCCCCCCTGCATTGCTGTCTCTCTAGCTCTCGGCACCCCCGGAGGTGCAACCTCCCTCTCCTGCTCTCACTCTCACTCACGTTGTGTAGGGAGTTGCAGCTCCCCATGCTCACTCTCCCTCTCACTCCCACTCACCTTGCATAGGGGCGTTCAGACCCCCTCCCTCCCTCAAATTCTCACTCTCACTCACCTTGATATAGGGACACTCGGCCCCTCTCACATCCCTCCACCATGCACGACCAGCCTGGTGCAAGGGCAGGGAGGCATCAGGCACTCCATGCAGCATCATCATTTGCTGCCCTGCCCCCACACACAGTCAGTCAAGCACGCCCCCATGCCACACACAGTCCCCCTTCCCTCCTCCCCTCACCCCGCAGCAGCAGGAGAGGCATGCAGCACCGACCCCTTGGAAGCAGCACCGGCAGTACCCATTGCGCTGAGGCGCCAAGTGAGGCAGGAGGCAAGCACACGGTAAGCCCAAGATCCAATTACCCCTCACCGGCGTGGCAAGAGCTGGCACGAGACAGAACCATTCGGCCGCAATGGTCTGCCATGGGCCCATTATGCATTAACGCGCGGGTATTGCGATTGGACACAGAGTGCTTGACACGTGTACTTGCACTGCCCCACCCAACCCCCATTGCTTATAGTACTGAAGGCGCTGCCCCTAGAAGCCTGTACCGTATGCCATCCCCCACCACCCCGCCCCACCCACCTCCATCCCCTCCCTCACGCCTTCAGCTCACCTCACTTACCACCGCCATGCAGAGCCAAGGGATGCCGCTGTTGGGGGGAGGGAGGGGGGTGGGGGGTGTGTGTGAGGTGCTCTCCTCTGCTCCTCTTGCGCCAAAGCTCCAAGGAGGGAGGGGGGAGGGGGGTGTGAGGTGCTCTCCTCTGCTCCCTCTTGCTCGAATGCTCCAAGGGGTGGGATGCTGCTGGGGAGAAAGAGGAGGGGGGTGTGAGAAGCTCTCCTCTGCGCCTCCACTTGCTCCAAGGGGTGGGAGGCTGTTGAAGGAGGCAGGGAGGAGAAAGAGGAGGGGGATGTCACCATACCATACCATACCACACCTTACCTGTACCTCGCTCACAACTAACGCCTAGCCCGCCCTAAAACTGCCCTCCCCTATGCTGCTGCCCTGCTGCCCCGAATCTGAATCTGCTGCTGCTGCTGCTGCTGCTCAGCTACAGGCTCTGCTGCAGTCTTGAGTGCTGCTGCCAAGTGACCTGCCCGGAGGGAGGGGTGGGCGGTGGGGGGTGATGAGGAGGAAGGGAGAAGAGAGAATTGAGCGGAAGGAAGGGAGGGCCAACTACAAGAGAACCAGAAAGTGAAGGAGCAGAATTAGCAGCAGGAATAGCAGCAGCGAGGGAAGAAGCTTACCTTGAGCAGCCAAGCCCAGTCCAGATACTCTCCCTTGCAGCAGAATGCACTGCGCTGCAGCAATTGCACCACTGCACGGCTTAGCTACAGGCTCTGCTGCAGCCTTGCTCGCTGCTGCCAAGTGACCTGTCGGGAGGCGGAGGGGGGAGGGGGAGGAGTGGGTGGCGGGGGGTGGAGGGAGGAGGAGGGGGAAGGGACAAGAGAGCCGTGAGTGCAGGGAAGGGAGAGCCAGCAAGGACAGAACCAGAAAATGAACGAGCAGGGAAGGGATTGCAACAGAAGGAAAGGGGCTTACCTATAGGAGACGAGCCCACTGCAGAGTCTCTCTCTAGCAGCAAAGTGCATTGCTGCTGCTGCTGCTGCTGCTGCTGCTGCTGCACCGCTCTCAGCTGCACGCTCTGCTGCAGACTTGGCTTGCCGCGGCCAAGTGACCTGCTAGGAGGGGGGGACGGGGTGTGGGGGGTGGTGAGGAGGACGGGGGAAGAAAGGAGTGAGCGCAGGGAAGGGAGCCAACTAAAACAGAAGCACAAAGCCAAGGAGCAAAATTGCAGCAGGGAGGAGAGAGTGGCTTACCTTGAACAGCCAAGAGAGCCCAGATACTCTCCCTTGCAGCTGCTGCTGCTGCTGCTGCTGGTGTTGCTGGTGCACCGCTCAGATATAGGCTCTGACTTGGGATTGCTGCTGCCAAGTGACCTGCCAGAAGCGAGGGCGGGGAGGGGAGGGGAGGGGAGGAGGGCGGGGTTGGGGGGAAAGGAGGAAAGGAGAAGAGAGAAGTGAGTGCATGGAGGGAGCGCCAACTAGGACAAAACCAGCAAGTGCACGAGAATAAATTGCAGCAGGGAGGAAAGGGGCTTAGCTTGAGCAGGCGAGCCCACCCCAGATACTCTCCCTTGCAGCGGAAGGCAGCCCTCCTCCCAGCGCTCCCATGTGCGTCCCTGCATGGCCACAGGGGAGGGACGTGAGGGAGTGTCGGTGTTGACCCCCGCGCCCCTCCCCTCCCCCTGCAATGCACACAAGCAGCAAGAGTCAGCGCCATGGCATGGGTAGCAATTGGAAAGAGGAGCTGCAGAATCTGAACGAAAATCGAAGGGAAGCGAGGGGCCACTGGTGGAGGCACGAGCACACGCCACGGACCCCCAAGGGGACCTGCAGTGGGTGCAGTGGAACCTGAGGGGATACCTGAGGGGATACCTGAGGGGGTTACCTGCACCCGAGGGTTACCTGAAGTGGGGGGTCTGTGGCATATGAGCCAGGCCTGAACCAGTGGCATGGTTTGAAGGACAACCAAACGAGAAGCAATAATTCACAGGAGCGAACGAGCTGTAGCACGTACTGGGTCGGGTGTAGGTAGGAAGGTGAATTCGGCTTACCAGGCAGCAGCAGCGGCAGCAGCAGTGAGGGCGTTGAAGGGCAGCCATGACTCGCATTGGAGGGCCAGCGACCCTCTCAGGTGCAGAGCAGTGCGCCAGCAGTTCTGGCACGTGAGCTGCTGCAAGGGAGGGAGGGGAGGAGGAGGAAGGGAGGAGGAGGAGGGGAAGGGGGGAAGCGGGGGAGGTGGGAAAGGAGGATTACTTGCAAGTCTAGTGAACAGATGAGTAACAGAGAGGGTCAAAAGACCCTGTCACGGAAATGACCGGAGTACGTAAGGTCGGAAAAGGGCTTACCGTTGAAGGCCGACCAACCCCCCCAGATACTCTCCCTGGCGGCAGCCCTCCTCCCGCCCTCCCATGTGCATCCCTGCACGGCCACAGGGGAGGGACGTGAGGGAGTGTCGGTGTTGACCCCACGCCCCTCCCCTCCACCTGCAGTGCACACAAGCAGCACCGGTCAGTGCCATGGCATGGGTAGCAACCGGAAAGAGGAGCTGCAAGCACTGAAGCGGGAATGGAAGGCAGGCGCCACTGGAGGACGCATGACCACACGCCACAGACCCCCAGGGGGACCTGCAGTGGCTGAACCTGAGGGGATACCTGAGGGGATACCTGGGGGGGGTTAAACCACACCTGAGGGGGTTACCTGAGGCGGAGGTCTGTGGCATGTGAGGCGGGCCTCGACCAGTGGCGTGGTTTGAATGAAGGGCGACGAAGCAACAATGGAAAGCGGCACAGAAGGCTCAGTGTGGGTTGGGAGGTTTACTTAGCTCAGCACACAGAAGCGGCAGCAGCAGCTTCAGCGGGGGCGTTGGAAGGGCAGGCATGAGTGGGGAACGGCCAGCGACCAGAGCATCACCCCAGCAGTCCCAGCACTTGAGTTCCTGCAAGGGAAGGGAAGGGGGGAACCGGGGGGAACCGGGGGGGTGCAACAAGAAACAACGTGAGTAGGCAGAAATCGCTCCAGAGGGGGTGAAGGGGGTGAAGGGGCTGGAAGAGGAGGAACAGCAAGGAGAGCGGCCACTGGTGGCGGCACAGCTAAAAGCCACAGACCCCAAGGCTTGCACCTGGTAATTACCGGCAGTGGTGGGTTACCTGAAGGCTTAACCTGGGGGATGGCTTTACCTGCAGTAAGGGGGGTCTGTGAGCCGTACACTGCGCAGCCACCAGTGGAACCAATTTATGGGAGAACGATGAGGTAAAAACGACAAGGCATGCAGCAGGGGGTGGATGAGCGGAGGAAGCAACCACTTAGCTGTTGATGTGACCAAGGCAGCTGCAGAAGGCAGCGGAAGCAGCGTCCGGAGCTCGCATGCTGGCCCGCCTCGGCACCCCACCGCTCCTCACAAGCAGCGGCCAAGTGACCTGCCAAGGAGGGGAGGGAGGAGGGGGGGGAGGGGGGAAGAGGAGGAGGGCGAAGTAAGGCGAGGGACAGCAGCAGAGGCGCGCAGAGCAGCGCTGGGACGCGCAGCTCGCCTTGGAGCAACGCCAGCGCCTGGTGCAGCTCCCACACCTGGGGGAGGGGGGGGAGTGGGGAGTTGTGGGGGGGGGAGGGGGAGGGGAGTTCGCCCATGGCACACAAGCACGAGCAGGCGGCAGCGAGCGGCACATGCACAGGCAGCAGCGACGCGACGCACGCATGCATGCAGCGACGACTCTAGGTCTAGTTTAAACTAACCCGCTAGGACTCGACCCTAAGCAAGCGGCAGTGCCATATGCCATGGGCTAGAGAGAGGGAAGAACATATGGAGATATTGATCAGAAATCTTGGGAAGGCGCAGGGCCATGGAGTGTAGTGCAAAATAAAACGGCGAGTGGTGTGTGAGTGAGGTGTAATGAAGAGATGATGATGCAGTGCCATGAACGGGAAACGGAGGGTTTGGCACTTATCTCAAACAAAAGCAGGCCGCTAGAGCTGTCTTCTGGCTTGTATTCAGCAGCGCGTAACGACACGAGAGAGCATTAGAGTTGAGACTGCAGCTCTCGTGGAACTCTCGTGGTTCCTTCTCGTGTTGCCAAGGGTGTATCTTCAGAGGGACCTGCAAGAAGAAACGAGCGCCGTCAATTCCATCTTCAATAGGAGAATAAAAACACACCCGTGTTAAGGCAAAAGAGATCAAAGGAGGCGAATTGAGATCTTACCTTTTCAGCGGAAGTGGAGAGCACCAAGTAACGTCTTGGAACTCGTCAGTCTTCTGACTTGTTTTGAGCAGCGTATGTGGACTCGAGTTGAGAGCCAGGCGCACTTCCTGCTGAGCAGGCTGTAGTCTCTTGCTGGCGCTCTCCTGTATCTTCAAAACGACCTGCAAAAAGAAAGGAAGCGGCGTCAGCAAAGCATACAAGTACACTTGAGACTAGAAAAGCCGTTGCCTGTAGAAAACTCGCGTTGAACGACAACAAGTCTGAACAGGGAAATTGAGAACTCACATTTTGAGCGGAAGTGGAAAAACACCAAAAAGCGTCTTCATACTCAACAGAGTAGTTGACAGGAGTGCAGGCAACGAGTCTAGACATAAGGAGCGAAGTTCTCGGTTGGAGAAGCACCTGCAAATATGACAGAACGAAACGAGATTTCAATTCGCAGTTGAAGTCAGGAGGAAAAAGCAGAATTCATGAAATAAAACACCAAAGCTGAAATAACTTACTGTCAACGGAGGCGAGTGGATGCACGTGTAACAATTTGAAGCTTCCGACCTCTCCAACGGACAAAGGAATTCGCGAACGCGGAAGAAATAACACTAGCAGTCCGTTGCTGCCGCGTCATCCGAAATACTCGCCATCAGCAGCTTCCCCGTTAGAACATAATCGCTCTCAGCAGCAACGTGAAGCGAGCGGAATAGTCTCGATCCGAATGCGATGGACGGAAAACGGAGGAAAGCAGCAGCGGGAGCGGAGAGAAAGGGCGTCGCCTGGTAGCAGAAATTGGGAGCTCCAAAACGAGAGTTGGAGCGACGAAAATGGCATCCGAATTCCGAAATGCGTGCCAAAAGCGTGGCTGGGTTGGTTGGAATTGGAACCACCCACGGGAAACGGCCGAACCATGCTCGCGCCAAACCAACGGCTATGGATGGGAGGTTCGATTTCAGACCCACCAGACGACGTGGATGGTGGAAAACGAGCCACTCGTTTCGCAAAGTCTACGTGGCGAATCGATAAGTAGTTGAGATGAGCTTGAACCGCCAATCTAAGGCTTTGTCACGTGCTGCGGAATGACGTGGCTACGGGAATGGATGGTTCACGAAAGTGCGCGTGTTTCACGCCACAGCTTCACGCGGGAAACAAAAGAATCTGGGAAAGTCCCCACTAATCGCTACCGTCGATTTCGGTCATTCAACTGAAACCGTTCGACCTACAAGTGTGGCGGTGACTGCTCACGTGGGTTCTCGTGGTTCTACCCAATAAGAGACAAGCCAGTCGGAAAATATAAGATTTCAAACTCAGATATCTCCTTGGATGGTCGGAAATGGTTTCCCCGTGTCTACGTGGCCGATACCTGAAGTCCACTCCAATCGCCCACGTGTCCCCACCGACATTGAGGTGGCTCCAATACGGAAGGAATATCACCCGTGAAACGCGAAACGACTGGCGTTCGCCATCTACTAGTACCGTCGATTTCGTAAATTTCAACTGGCACCGTCAGATCGGCGAGCCTAACGGCAAAATTTGTCCTCAAATCGTGAGCTCAAGGCTCGGATCCTGGCCAATAGGAAGAAGGCTGAGCTGAACTGAGGAAGGGCAAAACTTGGATGAAGAGGAGCAATGAGGGCATGATTTTGGCGAAAGCTCGCCTTGTTCCCTCTCTCACCGCCTCGAAGGGGATGTGGTTTGCTGTGTGGGCGAAATAGGGCATCTTGTGGTAACTTTGCAATCATGTCGCTTCCACCAGGAAAGCAAGCCTTGCACACGAACCCAGTTCCAGCTCGTCAACGAAGACCCAACGAATGATGCGCTGCCATGTAGGCTGGATATTTGTTTCAGGCAACGGAAATCTCGTTTCCATTTACTGGCTGCCTCAGTATTCGCTACAGGAGAACAAGCTGTGGATGATCGAAGCTGCTCCATCGATAACGATGACCGAAGTAAAGTGTGCAAAAACCAAACCTCGTAGGATTCCCGTATGGGTACGCTCGACCGTTCGATTCCCTGAATGGCAAGCTAAATTTGGCCGTTCGATTCCCTGAATAGAGTTTGTGTCAGATATATGCACATCGATGTCAGAGTAGACTCGCAGCGCACTTCCGCATCGATGCCGCAAGCAAAGCAAGCCCAGGGCCTGCTTTCTCCTGCTCCCTGCCGACACTCCCAAGGTTCTTTTCGCCTTCGCCTCAATCCTCCGCACTCGCTTGTTCCCTGCATCTCTCGAGTATAGCACAGCTCAATAGCCTCCATGAAGCCAGAACCGCCATGGCTCCTATCGAATGGTAATCCGAGTCTTCAGCTACTGAAAATGTTAAGTTAGACTCCAGCTGCTGAAGATGTTATCATAAGTCGGCTTCCTTTCTGGCACTGTTTCCCTGAATTGCGCGATTTAGCTTAGCTCAGCTGCCTTACCTTGAAACCAGGATCGCCTTGGCTCCCATCGAATTGCTGTCTCAAATCGGTCCTCAGCTACCAAATATGTTATCATAAGTTAGTCTTTCTGAACAATGTTATCGTAAGCTAGTCTTCAACTTTTATTGTCAGCACGTGATTTCGAATAAGCGATGTACGCACCGTTTCTAGCGACCAGGGGTCTCTTTCCGATGATCGACCGAGTAGTACATACAGGGATTAGTCGCACGTTTGCGATTCGAACGGCGATCGGTCGCGGCGTCGATTTGTCTCACGCCTATCCATCTGACGGCGAATGGTCGCACGCCGATCAGTCTCACGGCAATCAGTCGCACGGCGATCCGTCGCACGGCGGTTTGTCGCTCTGTAGTTTGTCTCCCACCGCCTCACAGCGATCTGCCGAACGACGATGCGTCGCTCCACGCGCGATTCGTCTCACGACGGTCTCGCGCGTCAATCGGTCGCCATTTCTCTCGGTTATTCTTCTCAAGCCTACCGATCTCATGGCGGTCTGCCTCACAGAGATCAATCGCACGGATCAATCAATCTGACAGCGTGCCGTTGCACATCGATCTGTCGCACGGCATTCAATCCCACGGATCCGGCGGCGATCAGTCACACATCCATTAGTAGATCGGCAATCAGTAGCACGGCATCGGTCGCACAGGAATCAGTCGCATGGCTCTAGTCGCACGGCGATCGGTCGCACGGCGATCAGTACCAGGGCAACGCGACGAGCGACTGGCGGCGAGCAGCGAGCGACAGTATACAGCGACTGGCGGCAGCGATGAGGTTCGAGGTGTGCTTGCGGTTGGAGGAGCGCATGCAGCTGAGAGTGCGTGATTCGTGCTTCGTGCTCTCCCAGTAGCTGCCTCGCAACAGCCATGCAGCTAAGTGCTCCTGTCGCTCTATTTTTTTGGCCTAGCGTGTCTTCGCAGCCCATGGCACTCTAACATGGGTGGGGTTGGGATGTGAGTGGGGGTTTGAAGGCGCATGGCGGTGGTGGCACGTGACACTGCAGCAGTGAGCTCATATAGAGTCTAGCGGGGCTACCAGCGCATTCAGACCATACTATACCATGCTCGCGTCCCTCTCTTCCCCAGTCCCCTTCTCGCTGGCTTAGCTCGTTGCTGTCGTGCCATCTGCCACTGTCGCCATCCGCCTTCCTGCTTCCATGCAGCACCTAAACCCTCCTTCACACTCACACTCATTCTCGCACTAAACACCCTCCTTCGCACACATCCGTTGCTTGATTATCCCCTCTTTTGTTCCAGTGCTTGCTGTTAGCCTTGGACAGACTCCCTCCTTCCCTTGCTCCACAGCGACTGGACTGCACGCAGCAGAGCGACCGAGGGGCGTCACTGCTGCAGTGGCACTTGGAGCACACGAGAAGCAGCCATCTGGCGGCACTGGCAGCACTGTCAGCAGCGCTAGCAGCAGCACTGGCGGCAGCACTGGCGGGAGCAGCACTGGCAGCAGAAAAGCCAGCAGCACTCGCTTGCGTCTCCGTGATTCTTCTGACACATTGCCGTCGCCTTAAGATAAGTAGCCGGCCCATTTCACCCCTTATGTTGGTGTCAATTATTGCATTGTCGCATTATGCTATTCTACTGCTCTTCCCTGCACTCATTTCACTCAAATCCCCTCTAACCTTCCCCCGCGCCCAACCCCCCCCCCCCCCCCCCTTTTCCACCTTCCACTCCCCCATCCCGCCCGTGGCATAAAGGCATTGAGCTGCGTGCGTAGGGTCTTGTCTAGGTTGCGGGTTAGACTAAAATCAATTTCCTAGCTGCTGTGTGCTCGCGTCGCGTCGCTGTCTGTTGCTGTGCTTCACTCTCGCACGTGTGCCATAGGCGGAGCCCCACCCCTCCCCTCTTCCTCCCCATTCTCATCCGCCACCAGGGCAGCACTTGGACGGCAGGGATGCATTGCAGGGGAGCAAGGAAAGGATGGAAAGGCGGAATTTCACCGAGTGACCCCCCGTGCTGCTGCTCGTGCCGTTTCTGCCCACACGCACACACACTCCCAACTGTCTGCTCCTTCCTTCCCTCTGTGTTGCAGGAGCCATGGCGCCTCCCTTGGTGGCAGCAGCAGCGTTTGAAGTGCAGCAGTGGAAGCATGGCCACGGGCAGGAGTACCAAGCGCACCAGCAGCAGCAGCAGCAGCACTAGCAGAATTGGCAGCAGACGCTTCCTGCTGAAATAAGTATTCAAACCTTGTCATCCCCTATGCTGAACTTGTATTTTTAGCATCCTTTCAAAACCCTGTGGTAATGCTATACTCTCTTATGCTATATCGCTAGTACTCCCTGAACTTGTTTTTTCCGCATTATTTTGCATTCCCCTATGTTCGTACTCGGTTAATATTTGCATTCCACTCAAACCCCCTCTATCTCCCCCCATTCCCCCCATTTCCCCCATTCCCCCCATTCCCCCCATTCCCCCCATTCCCCCCATTCCCCCCATCCCCCTTTCCCCCCCTCTCCCGCCCCCCCAAAATGGCACACTCCCCTTTCATCCCCAAGGACCCACAAGGGAGTAGCTGGTGCTTCTTCGAAGCTCACAAGGGACGACGTCAGCTGTTGTCACCAAGGCCTGGGAGCAAAGGCCAGCTGCCCTCACATGGTAACTCACTCACTCCCCCCCCTCCCCTAATCCCGCAACTCCTTGCGTTCTCCTAGTGTTGTGCGCGCTGCCTTCTGCACTTGCGGTCTCTGGATGGGGTCAGACAGTGACCTGAACCTGAGGGGGTTGGACAGAGACGATGGGGTCACACAGCACACTTAGCTGGACGGGACTACCACAGCTGGTGGACGCCAGCACCCACAGCTGGTCGTCCACTGGTGGACGCCGTACACTGTCCACCGTCCACCGTCCATTGGTAGACGCCGCCCACCGTCCACCGCACACCGGTTGATGGCGTCCACCGTCAACCATCCACCACCCACCGTTGGACGCCGTCCACCGTCCACCGCACACCGCACACCGGTTGATGGCGTCCACCGTCAACCGTCCACCACCCACCGCTGGACGCCGTCCACCGTCCACCGGTGGAAGCCGTATACCATTCACCGTCCACCGTCCACCGGTGGACGCCGTCCACTGTACACCATCCACCGTCCAACGGTGGACACCGTGACCGTCCATGGGTGGACGCCGTCCACTGTCCACCGTCCACCGTCCACCGTCCACCGGTGGACGCTGTCCACTGTCCACCGTCCACTGGTGGACGCCGTTTACCGTACGCCGCCCACCATCCACCGTCCACCCGGTGGACGCTGTCCACCGTCCACCGCCCACCGTCCACGGGTGGACGCCGTCCACCGTCCACCGCCCACCGCCCACCGTCCACCAGTGGACGCCGTACACCGTCCACCGGTGGACGCCGTCCACCGTCCTCCGTCCACCGTCCACCGGTAGACGCCGTACACCGTTCAACGTCCACCGTCCACCTCTGGACGCCGTCCACCAGTGTATGCCGTCCACCGTCCACCGGGGGACGCCGTACAGCGTCCACCGTCCACCGATGGACGCCGTCCACCGTCCAAAGGTGGACACCGTCACCGTCCACCGATGGAGGCCGTCCACCGTCCATCGTGGCGTCCACTGTCCACCGTCCACTGTCCACTGTCCACCGGTGGATGGCGTCCACCGTCCAACGTCCACCGGTGGACGCCGTACACCGTCCACCGGTGGGCGCCGTACACCATCCACCGGTGGATGCCGTCCACCGTCCACCGTTCACCGTCCACCGGTGGACGCCGTCCACCGTCCACCGTCCACCAGTGGACGCCGTCCACTGTCCACCGTTCACCGGTAGACGACATCCACCATCTACAGTCCACCGGTGGACGCCGTCCACCGTCCACCGTCCACCGCCCACCGCCAACCGTCCACTGTCCACCGTCCACCATCCACCGTCCAACGTCCATCAGTGGACGCCGTCCACCCCCCCGTCCACCGGCAGACGCCGTACACCGTCCACCGCCCACCGTCCACGAGTGGACGCCGTCCACCGTCAACCGGTGGACGCTGTACACCGTCCACCATCCACCGTCCACCGTGCACCGTCCACCGTCCATCGGTGGACGCCATACAACGTCCACCATCCACCGCCCACCTTCCACCTTCCACTGGTCGACGACGTCCACAGTCCACCGTCCACCTTCCACGGGTGGACGCCGTCCACCGTCCACCGCCGTCCACCGCCGGAGTCCACCGTCGTCCAACGGTTTACGCCAGCCCGCCTTAGCTGGACGCCATCCCCCTTAGCTGGACGCCAGCCCGCCTTAGCTGGACGCCAGCCCCTCTTAGCTGGACGCCAGCCCCCCTTAGCTGGACGCCAGCCTCCCTTGGCTAGACGCCAGTCAGCCCCTCCTCGCTGGATGCCAGCCGCCCTTAGTTGGACGCCAGCAGCCCTTGGCTGGACACCAGCACCTCTTAGCTGGACGCCAGCCCTCCTTCGCTGGACGCCAGGCCCCCTTATTTGGACGCCAGCCCCCCTTAGCTGGACGCCACCCCCTCTTAGCTGGACACAACCCCCCTTAGCTGGACGCCAGCCTCCCTTAGCTTGACGCCAGCCCCCCTTAGCTGGACGCGAGCCCCCCTTAGCTGGACGCCAGCCCCCCTTAGCTGGACGCCACCCCCTCTTAGCTGGACGCCAGCCCCCCTTAGCTGGACGCCAGCCGCCCTGGACGCCTGCTCCACTTAGCTGGACTCCAGCCCCCCTTTGCTGGTCGCCAGCCGCCCTTGGCTGGACGCCAGCGCCCCTTCGCTGGACGCCAGCCCTCCTTCGCTGGACGCCAGCCACCCCTTAGGTGGACGCCAGGCCCCCTTAGCTGGACGCCAGCCCCCCTTAGCTGGACGCCACCCCCTCTTAGCTGGACACAACCCCCCTTAGCTGGACGCCAGCCTCCCTTAGCTTGACGCCAGCCCCCCTTAGCTGGACGCGAGCCCTCCTTATCTCGACGCCATCCCCCCTTAGCTGGAAGCCAGCCCCCCTTAGCTGGACGCCAGCCCCCTGTAGCTGGACGCCAGCCCCCCTTAGCTGGACGCCACCCCCTCTTAGCTGGACGCAAGCCCCCCTTAGCTGGAGGCCAGCCCCCCTTAGCTGGACGCCACCCCCTCTTAGCTGGACGCCAGCCCCCCTTGGCTGGACGCCCGCCCCCCTTAGCTGGACGCCAGCCGCCCTTAGCTGGACGTTGGCTGCCCTTAGCTGGACGCCAGTCCCCTCTAGCTGGACGCCAGTCCCATTAGCTGGATGCCAGCCCCATTAGCTTGAAGCCAGACCAATTAGCTGGAAGCCAGCACCATTAGCTGGGAGCCAAATCTCTGAATGGTGTTACACTGAGACAGAGGGGGGCTGGCGTCTCCCTCAGATGGTTAGACAGAGGTCAATTTAGACGTGGTCAAGTTAGAGGTGGTCAAGAGAGACCTGGTCAGGTGAGACCTGGTCAAGTGAGACCTAGACCTGATGTCAACAGCACCAGGTATGGTGCGCCCCTCGTCTCCATGCCCTCCACCCAGCGCTGTCTTCCCCTAGCCTGCCCCGTGACCCTTCTACTGTTAAACACAGCCTCATGCCTACAAACACCGCCCCCAAGCTCCCAACACACAGCTCTGCCTTCCTGTATCAAGTCAGCGCTGTGCAGGAACAAGCTGGAATCCAGACCCTTCACTGCGCGTTCCACACAATGATCTGCTGCAGATATCCCTGCGAGCAAGAACTTGCTCCAATTCTTGGTTACTACAGGATGAGATGAGATGCTGTTGCTGACGAAACTTGCAGTCTGGCACAAACTGATTAGACGTGGAGACATGCTTTGAGCCCCTTCATGAAATGTGCGATGCCATTACTGCATTCGTTGGAGGAAATAATGTGGAGCTTCTGTTGGGCTGAAAACATTCATTCAGAGTGGCTTCTATGGGTATGTTGCAATGAATATGTGAAGCCACAAAAACTATGAGCATGTGCAAATGGGCATATTCATGGTGGTGCATTTCATGGTGAGTGGAAACGTGAATCTTGATTATTACAAACAAGACTCCCCATCTCGAGAGTGCTTTGAGGCAAAGTCGTCAGTCTGAAAGTTATCGCCTTCTGTAACAGTACCAGCTAGCCGATGTCTCAAACGGACGGGCAGCCAATCAGTCACGCACCAAGCGGAGCAAACCGGCAGCCCGAACCGAACATGTGGTGCTGGTTGACCTGGCCTTTGCCTTCCCCGACGCCATCGCCTCACCTTGCTCTTGATTTATGCCATCGCTGCTTGCTTTCAGCCCGGGCAAGCAAACTTTCAGGTCACAACCTTACCCAACCGTTTCAGATCGCTATGAAAACCTTTATACTGGCAGAGCATCTCACCCAACCGCAGTCGAACGTAAGCGCGGGAGACACGCCCTAACCAACTAACCAACTAGCCAACCAGCCAGCCAGCCAACCGCGGTTTTTGCGCTGCTGGATTAGCGGCTGCCTGTTCTCCAATTTCTTGATTGCTTCTATGACTGCTTGCTTCGTTGGGAGTTGACGATTAGTCCTGAGAAATAGAGGTGATACGCACGAGTGCGTCATAGACGGTGACTGAAACTGCCGCTTTCAGGCGTTAGGGTTGATGGAAAGTCTTAGCATCTGACTACCTACTTAGTTTAGGAGAACTGTCGTTGTAGTACCGCGAAACTGACAGCAACTGTTTGCGTAGATTAGCGTAGAATTGTCTTGAGTTTAGCGTCCCTTATCCTCGTTTCTTCGAGAGTCGCGAGCATCTTCCCCATCTCCCGGGTTTTTTAGAGTAGGCGAGCAGCGTGTGCGATGGGGAAGAACCAGCAGTACAAGGCGGCGCAGCGAGCCAAGTCGATGAGCCGCGGGGGTGGTGGTGGCGGCGGCGACGAGGAGAGCAATGATGGAATGGTAATGATGTTTGCACCTCATGTGGGTCGAATTTGTTACCTGATGGGCTGCAATCCCCTAGAGCAAATAAAATTCACGATCGGTTCACGTTTCTCTCGTTTTTTGTGTTGTTTTTGTTTTTCGAGTTCTGTAAGGGGACTTTTTATCAGTAGATCGGATTACTAATTCAGCCATTGGCAGATTGATGGATCTTTCCATTCTCCAGCGTGGCATGCTGCACGGCTCGCCGCCTTGCAGACGACCAACACGCTGACCTGGGAGGAGTGGAAGGCTCAGCGGAAGGTATGCTGCATTTTGCCGTCATTGTTCGTTCAATAATACTTCACCGGCTTTTTGGTCCTTGTCCTTGATCGTAGTTCCACCGCGTTACGTGCTTGTCCCTTTGAATCATATTTTTATCGTCGTTCATGAAACCCTATTCGGCTGATCTCCTTGTGTGTGCCTAACTCCCATCAACACGCTTTACCTAATTAGTGTCGGTCGGCTGTTAACTCATTGTTTCCGGCGTGCGAACTGCCTGGCTGGCTTGCTCGGCGCGCTGTGGCGGCAGGAGGAGGCGCGGAAGGCGCAGGAGATGGAGGGCTTCGAGGAGCAGCGCATGAAGGAGTACCGCGCGCAGCTCGACAGCGAGCGCGAGGCCCGCCTCTCGCGCGGACGCAACCACGCCGATAAACGCGGGAAGCTGAAGAAGAGTATGTCTGCTGTTTAGATGCTGATAAACCATGCCGAAAAACGCTGATCAACTCTCCACGCTTTGTTTCAAGGACTCCAGTCAAACGTTTTTGCTGATCATACGACTACTTTGTTGTGTTTCTTTCATGCTGACCATTTGTTCTATGCAGGCAAGGACAAGGATAAGAGCAAGAAGAAGGTGAGCAAACTTTGCTGCAGTTTATGCTCCAATCTATTCCTGTGTGTGAGCCTCACCGCTATCTCCGGTCCAATCAACCATTTGTCTCACTCTAGGTACTCACATGATTATTGCCTGTTAATGTATTTGGCAATGTTCAGAAGAAGGGCAAACGCAAAAAGGGTGATTCTGAAAGCGACTCGAGCAACTCAAGCAGCGACGATGAGGGAGACAAGGACAAGAAGAAGAAAAAGAAGAAATCAAAGAAGGACGCAGATGCGCTCAGCAGTGCGAGTGAGGAGGCAGGTCCGGTGCGCCTCTCATCCTTCCTGGAGAAGGGAGACGATGACCTCCCTGGGTCTGACGATGAGGGTGATTTGCAGCTGCCCCCAGCAGCAGCCAAAAGCGGTGATTTATCGAGCTTGTTGGCCGAAGCCAAGAGAAGAGCGGAGATTGGGGCTCACATGGTGGCTGAAGTCAAGAAGGCAGAGATGATCCGGCCTGCCTGATACCTCCTCTTGATTAGCCTTCCTCACCCATCTCACACTCTTCAGCACACTGCCAATGGTAGGGTGAGTTTGACTTGCTTATGATAGTCAAAGCTACAGCATCAGCTTCTGTGGCTCTAGGCTGTGAAGTGTGCTGTTGCAATAACTTTATTTCAAATTAGCTTGACACAATAGGAGCAAGCTGCTCCATGCAGCTAGGTTAGCTTGTTATCTAATGCTTATTTGTTCATCAACAGGCACCTATTGTACCAACCAACCAACCGTAGGTTCGTCACCCGCCCTACCAACAAACCATTGGCCTAGTTACTAGCTCACACCGCGCACAGGAGAGCAACTGCTTTCCCTTGCTCAAGCCACCCACCCACCCCCACCCCCCCCCCCCCAACTAACACGGCTGATAGCGCTTTTACCCGTCGAGCAGCCGCTTATTTTGCCCTAACAGCTGTCGCTTCAGCCCGCCCCCAATCGCCATATAAGTGAGGCAGCTGGTGGCGTTGAGTCAGAAGCAGTGAGAAACGGCTCGTGTTCAAGCTGCGAAGCATCAACTGTAAGATGATGACTGGGTGCACCCAGGACGCCCGGCTGACAGCACACCCCCTCACCCTAAGGCCATCACCACTTGGGGTTCTTCCCAGATACATCCAGCCACGAGCTGAGGTCAACGAACGGCTCGGGGTCAAACTGGGAGGCGTCTGAGATGATGCCCGGGTGCACCCACGACGCACGGCTGGCAGAGTAGCCCGGCCCCGTGCTGCCCTTCTCTGCATAGTACAGGCAGCTCCCTTTGGTGTCGCCGCCCCATGTGCTCCACCCGTCCCGCTCTAACTCCTGCGGCGATAGGGGAAGGAGGGGAAGAAAGGGAGAGGAGAGTGTGAGGGAGAGTGTGAGGGAGAGTGTGAGTGAGAGTGTGAGGGAGAGTGAGTGAGAGTGTGAGGGAGGGACGGCGTGGCAGGAGGAACAGCTGAGGCCGGCAGAGTAGCCCAGCCCCGTGCAGCCCTTCACCGCGTAGCACAGGCAGCTGCCCTTGGTGTCGCCGCCCCACGTGCTCCACCCGACCCACTCCAGCTCCTGCAAGATGAGGATGCAGGAAACTTCCAGGTAAAGAAAATGGTGATATCGTGGCAAGTCCGTAACCGTGGTGCAATGCGCAGCTGGTTTTGACACAGCGCTTTGGTGAAATCGTTGTGCTATGCGCAGCAGTTTAAACACAACGCTTTCGCTTCCCCACAAGCCAGTCAAGAGCGCCCATGCAGTCAAGAGCGCCCACGCAGTCAAGAGCGCCCCGGTCATCACCCCATCATTTGCCCCTGCCCCTTGCCGCAGGCCTGTCACAGTCGACATAGAGGGTGCGAACACAGTCCTTTCACGGCTGTCCCCGGCTTGCCAAACCCACCTCAACACAGTATTCCACCTCCCACCCTAAGTCTTCCCTCACCGCCTGCATGTAGCAGTTGACGAAGACGGTGCACGCACAGCCCTTCCAGGTCTATCCTCAGCTTGCCAGAACCACCCCAATCCAACCCAACCCAACCCCAACCATCCCCCTTCACCGCAGGCATGTAGCAGTTGACAAAGGCAGTGCGTGGACAGTCCTTCCAGGGCCGGCCCAGGTAAACCTCCAGCACACCCCGATCAATCCCCTGCCACCACCACAAGCCATGTTTCCAGTTCATTACCAACAACACGCCTTCTTTCACTCCCTCACTGCGGGCATGTAGCAGTTGACGAAGACGGTGCGCGCACAGTTCTTCCAGGGCCGCCCCAGGTAAACGTCCATCGCTCCCGAGTCCGTCGAGATCTTGGCGTTGCGGATTACGATGCCTGTTGGGGTCTCGCTCTCGCGCCCCGATGCTGTGATCGTGGAGAAGGAGCTGCATGCGGGGAAAGGGGGGGTTGGGGGAGAAACATGAGGAGGAACGGAGGGAGGATCAGACATGAATGATGATGCTCTCCTCTCTTCTCCTCACCTGCTCTCCTCTCTTCTCCTCACCTGCTCTCCTCTCTTCTCCTCACCTGCTCTCCTCTCTTCTTCTCACCTGCTCTCCTCTCTTCTCCTCACCTGCTCTCCTCTCCTTTCGCACCTGCTCTTGTGCACCACGATGGTGGGGTTGTCGATGACGACAGCAGCATCACCAAAGATGAAGTCGATGGTGCCGCCGATGTAGCAGTCCTTGTAGTACTGCCGTCCCGCGTCCACGTACAGCGTGTCCTGGTAGGGGGGAAGAGAAGCGATGGAGGGGCGAGGTTGTAAGGCAGCAGCATCGCCAAAGGGGCGAAGTCGATGGTGTCGCCGATGTAGCAGTCCTTGTAGTACTGCCGCCCTGCGTCCACGTATAGAGTGTCCTGCAGCGCAGGAAGGGAAGAGATGGAGGGGAAGGGGTAATTGAGAGTGCTGCATCACCAAATATAACGTCACCAGTGCCGCCGATGTAGCAGCCCTTGTAGTACTGCCGCCCTGCGTCCCGCGTACAGCGTGTCCATTTGGGGAAGAGAAGAGATGTTCCGAGCATGGTGTCCAGGGTTGACTTTTGAGTCGACTCAAAAGCATGGTGTCCAGGGTTGACTTTTGAGTCGACTCAAAAGCATGGTGTCCAGGGTTGTAAGACACCAGCATCACCACGATGAAGTCAATGGTGCCTCTGGTGTATTAGTCTGTGAGGAATGGTGAAACCTGCAGGGTGAGAGGAGGGTACCACCGCAACTCACCTGGTTGCCCTCAAAGGCGCACTCAAAGAAGGCGGAGCGGTCCCCGCTGACCCGCATGGCAACCGCCTGGTGGTTCTCCGGCCCGGCTTTGCTTTTATATCACATGGTATCCACCCACACATGTCGACCAGTTTACTACTGCAGCTCGCCTGGTCGCCCTCGAAGGCGCACTCGAAGAAGGCGGAGCGGTCCCCTCTGGCCCGCATGGCAACCGCCTGGTGGCTCCCACCTGGTTACCAGCACGCCTCACATCTAACCTGTTACCTCGTTACCACCAATCTTCACATTTAACCGCTACCTGGTTGGCCTCGAAGGCGCACTCGAAGAAGGCGGAGCGGTCCCCGCTGGCCCGCATTGCAACCGCCTGGTGGTTCTCCGGCCCGGCTGTGTTCTCAAAGCGGATGCCCAACGCACAGAAGCGCTCCTTGTTGGCACCTGAGGGCAACATGGGGGTACAGCCACGAGGGGGATGATAGGGGAAGATGGCAGGTGGTGTGGCCATACATGCTCGGGGAAGGTGAGCGTGATGTGGCCATACATGCTGTTCTTTCAAAGCGAATGCCCAAGGCGAAGCACTGCTTGTTGGCACCTGGTGGCACAGTCACACCAGGGGGGAGACACATCCGTGCTGGCAGTGACCCCCTTGCTGCGGAGTATGATGCACCTTACTAGCACCAGCACCGTCTCCTTTTCACCAACCCTTTCACTCAGGTTTCTCTCACTGGCGGTGGCGGGAGGATAAGTGGTGGAGTCACTGCCAGCACGCTTTGACCCCGTCATGATCGTCCCGACGGACGCTGCCCTCGCCCACCATCATCACCCCTTGCTGCGGAATGTGATGCACCCCACTTCCCACCAGCACCCACTCCTTTACCCAAGAATATCAGGTTTCTCTCACCAATAGTGGCGGAGCGGTACACCACTCCCAGCGCTTTTCGACCCCGTGATGGTGGTCCGGCCACTGCCCTCGCCCACCATGATCAACCCCTTGTTGCGGAATGTGATGCACCCCAGTTCCCACCAACACCCACTCACCAATAGTAGCAGAGCGGTACGTGGTGGAGCCACTCCCAGCGCTCTTCGACCCCGTGATGATTGTGCGGTCGCTGCCTTCCCCCACCATGATCAACCCCTTGTTCCTGAAAATAATCGACTCCCTATAAGTCCCCGCGCGGATGAAGATCACAAACCGCCCGTCCTTCGGCGCGGCTGACAGCGCGCCCTCCACGGTGTTGTACTTCTCCCCCGGCCCCACCACCGCATCCGCCTTTAGTGACCCGCGGCTGATCCCACTCCCCCCACTGTTGCTTCCCCCACCGCCACTCCCCCCTTTCCGCTTCCACTTGTGGTGCCCCACGCCCTTGGGGTGGTGCGCGCCCTTGCGCCCGTTGCTCCACAGGTGCTTGTGGTGCCCGCCCACTCCCCCCTCCGCGTCCCCGTTCCCCCCGATTCCCCCGTTCCCCCCGTTCCCCCCGTTCCCCGCCTCCCCCCAGTGGCTGGGCTGCTTCTCCTTGTGCGAGGGCCCCGTGCCTGGCGCGTGGTGCAGGGACCCGGGCGCGTGGTGCCCCGCAGTGGGGGGGTGGGGGGCGGTTTTCTGCCCCAAGGTGGTGGCTAGGGGGACGAGCACGCGGGGTTTGGGGCGGAGTGCTGGGATAGGGGGAGGATAGGCGGAATGGGGACTATAATGCTTCCGCTGTAGCCCTTTCGTTTGTAGCGCCTTCCGCTGGAACGCTCTCACTTGTAGTCCCCTCGGCTGTAGCGCGCCTCGCCTCTGCCACATGTCACTCTTCCGCTGTCGCCGTTGCCATTGCCCCACCCCGAACCCCCTTCTCCTCCTCTCGGTCCCCCCCATCTCCCCCTCTTCCCCGCCCCCTTCTTCCCCCGTTTCCGCATCGAGGGGGAGGCCCAGCAGCTTGCGCCGTCTGTCCGCCCAGTGCTGCGCGCGCGCGTGCTCTCCGCGCATTCGCGCCTGGAGCTCCTTCAGCTGCTCGTATAGCCCAGCCTCCAGCCACTCTGGGTGCTGGTAACCACCCGCTTCTTCGCCTGACTCGCCAACGCTATTGTGGTAACCAGACTCGCCTTCGCCAAGGGACTCTAACGATGCCTGACGGGTAGCAGCAGCAGTGATTCTGCGAGGAGACTCATGCGACACGTGTCGGGTAACTGAAGCAGGAGCAGCAGCAGCGCGCAGCTGGCGGTTCCGCGTGACTCGCTCTGCGACACCTGGCGCGTTCTGCGAGGACTCGCCCTCGGCGCCCTGCGACCCGTAATCGTAGCCGTACTCGACTTGCGACGAGACTTGCGACTCCTGCGACGGTCTGCTGTCGCTCTGCGACGGATTAGCGCCCAATGAAGGCATCTGGCCCTGCTCGTACCCGCTATTGTCAACGCCTTTATTAGGTGGGTCAGTGGCGTAGTCAGCCGTACCGTTATCGTCGCTACCGTTACTGTTAGCATAGTCAGATCCGCTACTGTTAACACCGTTACTAGCAGTGTCATCAGCGTTATAGTCAGAACCACTGTCGTCCCTAGCATTAGTAGCAGCGTCATCGTTAGCTTCAGCGTCAGTAAGCTCGTAACCCAAACGGCCATCGTCGATCTTACCGCTAGCAGCGTCAGTATTGTCGTTAGACATACCACTATTGTCGCCAACAGCACTAACACCCGATCCCTCAGTACTGTAGTCATCTGACCCGCTATTGCCGCTAACACCACTCGTAGCACTCTCAGCACTAGCAGCACTAACAACTGATCCGTCAGTGCTGTAGTCATCTGACCCGCCATTGCTGCTAACACCACTGGCAGCACTAGCAGCACTAGCATCACTGACAGCACTAGCGGCACTAACAGCACTAGCAACACTAACCGATGTGTCAGAATTGTCAGTATCCTCGTAATCCAAGCCAGTACCCTCGCTCGGACCGATATCCGTACTAGGGCCGTTGCTGTTACCGTCAGAATCGCTCTCATCGCTAACATTGCCGCCATTGTCGCTACGGTCGTAGTAATCCGAACCGCTATCGCCGTTCTTACTGCCACTAGCGGGGTCGTTAGAGTGGTAATCCGTGATATAAGCACTGGCAGCACTAGCTTTGCCGTCGATATCTATACCGCCATCTCCGTTACTGTAACCATCCGTACCGCCGTCGCCGTCATCACCGCTTCTACTACCGTCGTGGGAGCCATAATACGAATCGGCATCTATGTTAAGAACGTCACTAACGGAATAATCTACAGCATCGCCAGCACTACCGCCATTATCTTGGCTTCTGGAGCTATCTGACGGGCTTTTATCCTGCTGCGAATCAGTGGTGCGGCCTTGCTGCAATCTGCTATCCTCCTGCTGTACCCCATTGAAGCCGTCGAGCTCGCTATTGACCCCGGGCGACGCACTATTACCGTCACTGTAGTAGTCGTAATCCGAACTGCTATCATTTCCGCTAATGTAATCGTAATTTATATCGCCAGGTATTTCAGAATCCGCTGCTGCTGTTCCTGTTGGAGTGGAATTTCCATCCGAAGAGTACGACACCGACGAGGACGATACAAACGAGCTCGGTTCCGCAGGATACCAATCCCCAGCGTTTTCGCCAGCTTTCGCCAGCTCCCCAGCACTCCCATCATTCCCTCTCTCCACATCCTGCGTGCTTTCTACCGCATCTAGCGGCTGATAATCCGTCTCGTCCAGCGACTGCGCCTGAGCCAATCCCGGCCTTAAATCCTCGCTCTTGATCCGATAAAACCCCTCCCTCCTATCCCCGCTTGTCGAACCGTCGTCATCACCATCTATTGGGTCGTCATAGTACCCGTCATAATCATAATCCGGCTGCACTTGCGAGTGCACTAGCTGCTGCGACTGCGCTTGTATCTGGTATCGATTCTGCGACTGTACCGGGGATTGTTGGGGGACCTCCGTGCGGTACTGTACAGGAAGGTACTGCCCCGCCTGCCCCGCCTGCCCCGCTTGCCCCAGTTTCCCCCCTTTCCCCGCCTGTCCCGCCGGCCCCGCCTGCGTGGTGCGCAGCTCCCCGTGTCCCGACTGACCAGTCTGCCCCGCCTGCAGTGGCCGCAGCCCCGCCCGCGGTCCCGCCTGCTGCGGGGGATACTGCGCTGGGGGCCGGGAACCGGCTTTTCCCTGCCCTGAGCGCATGCCGGCTGCTTGCGGTACCTGCTGGCGCTTGTTGCTGTACCCGCTATAGGCTGATGCGATTGTGACGGCTGCGCTTACAGTGGACTTGACGCGTGTTGAACCCACCTGCAGCATACCGGAAGCGGAAAATTGATTTGATATCGGATATGCGATACTGAAGGGCAGAAGGCATCGTACCAGCAACCCAACAGAACCCACATGGCCCATTAAAAAAAAAAGATGACCCATACCGTGAGCGTGGCTCCCAGAGCTGTCTTGAGAGCCGCGGGTGCGAATTCGCTGAACCCGGTAACACAGTTACTCAGTTTCGTCTTGATCGCCGCGAGCTGGAAGCGCAAGTCGTCTCCGCGGCTGCCTGCGCGCAGCTCCAGGTACGCCTCGCGCACTTCCTCCGCCGCGTCCGCCCCCTGGCGAAAACGGAGGACAGGTGGGTAGAGGGACGAAGGGAGGAGGATGGTGTCAGTGATGGGAAGCTACTCATAGCTATATAGATTCTCCTGACACGGAAAGCACGGGATGTTGAACATGAAGGTAACGCAGTCGCACCTGTTCAAGGCAGTCGTCTGAGACGGCTCGAATGAAGTGCTGCTGACGTGGCGAGAAACCGCTCAAATCACTCGCTTGTAGCTGCCTCACTAACCGCATCATTTGCCGCGCCTGGTGACACGCATCGAGAGTAAACAACAGATTATAGCATTATAAATCTCGCTCCAGCATGCCGTGGCATTGCATGGCATGGCATGGCATGGCTGCACATCAAGCTGTTATCTATCGAGTTGAGCATCCATCACTGAACCCGTAATCAACCATCGTGTTTTCTCTCACCTGACCTCCACGCGCTCGAGCATCGCCGCCGTCACGTCCTTCTGCTGCACCATCCTTCCTGCTCTATCCATCGTGTCCAACTGTGGCACTCTTGACGTTTCTAAGAATGGCATTTTTATCCGTCCTGTGTACTCTCACCTGTAACTCCACCCGCACCAGCATCGCCGCCGTCACGTCGTGCTGCGGCACCATCCCATGGCCATCCATGGCAGCCTTCCTGCTCCTTTCATCGTTTTCTCTCACCTGCAGCTCCACCCGCACCAGCATCGCCGCCGTCACGTCCTGCTGCGCCTGCGGCATCACCCCCAGCGACCGCCGCGCGCTGCGGAACTCCGCCAAGCACTCCGCCACCCGCGGGGACCCCGCGGGCCCCGCGCACCCCTCTGGCGGGGTGATGACCAAGAAATTGTCGAGAAGGTGCCACGTGGCAGCTGCGACGACGGCGAGAAAGACGGCTATCGATAGACGTGTAACGGGAGCGAACTGATCCATGTGTCCTCGATAGTGGTGGCTGCGATTTGCTCTTCTGTCGGGTTACGACTAAATCTGACGAGCCTGGAGCGTCCCTACTGTCTGGTGGTTGCGGAGGGTGCTACTGAGGAGGGGATATGGGACCGAGAGGCGGGCTCCAATGCGTGGGGGAGGTGAGAGGAGAGGGCGGGATGCATCGTGGACCGTGCTCTCACTTCGCCAAGTAAGAGCAATTCAGGAGTCAGGCCGTTAGCTGAATCGACGGCTATTGTAGAGACGTTAGCACGGCGAGGGGGGACTTTTCGTTGCAAGAGGGCCGATGCGAGTTCTACGAAAAACGTCTGTACGTTCGTGGCGCAAGACGAAGGAGCGTCGCCGCTACGCAACAACGTGGGTTCTACTAGTCGACTGGGGATGAAGCGCCGTACCAGTTATGAAGCTAGAGCAAGCTTTCGTCTCACATCGGAATCGAGAGCAAGGAGGGTAAGCGACGCGACGCGATGGTGTGCCGAGGTATCGATATACGGCACGCGACGTACTTTAGAACCATGTCAAGAGTCAAGTCATGCCATGCGACTCCGTTCGCGTGTCTGCTCTGACAGGTCGTTGGCGATACACTTTGGGTGATCGCAAACGGCTCTCCACTCCATCGGTCATCCTCGCTGCATGTGCTTCCGTTAGGCGAACGAGCCAAAAGCTTAGCTTCGGCAGAATAGAGCATGTGCTGAGCTGAGTCGCTAAGGACGAAACGAGCTGACTTAGCAGAAGTGGTGGGGGCGAATAGCATCCTACGTGTGGCGCAGTCTCGGGAAGGCACACCTAACCAAACTCACCTAATCATGGCTTTCCATTCCAGCCCCTCGTTTCTAACCACGCGCTTGCCAGGCGCATTTCATATAACACCCCTCCCGCTCACATGTTCGACGCAATGTGTGGAATCGCGGCTCCGGCTTGCTCCAATGCCCCGCAAACATGCGCGCTTCGCCCGTGCGTCTCGCAGAAACGACTCTCATTGGTGGAGCGCGCCCCTGTTTAGCAGTGGGAAAGGCCACAACAATCACCTGAGCGCCTTTGGCGTCAACAAGAAGCCAATTATAAAACGCGCGAGATGTTTGTGCACTAGTTCATGTAACACCAAATGATCTATTCCCCATTCCAGCTTCACATATTGTTTTCTTGTACCACATCGCCAATGCCCCTATGCATACCAGTTTTACAACATTTGATGCAATGAAGGGCGTTATCAGCTATCTAGGTCTTTCCCATGCTATCTAGGATAAATTATCGAAGTGATGGAGGCAGACATGTAGAGCATTCACTACACATGGCACACAATCAGATTCTGAAAATCTCTTGAACGTTAGCCATGGTCAACTTTTCTATCAACATAATGGATATGTTGGAAAGTGGAGCAGAAGACTGGAAAGAGTTAGGGCATACCGTATTTACCTGGCTAACAGATCCTAGGGTCTTATCCTGCCCCGTTTTTTTTTTTTTTTTTTAGGGGTGTCTTTTAATCGGAGGCAAATACATGAGGCCCGGGGCCTATGTTATACACGTGAAATTATAACAACTCAGGTAGAAAAGTGTTACAGCAGCACCCTGAGTCCGTCTCCGAGACTGGGAGATGCAGCTAGGGAGTCTCGAGACCTGTTTCCTGAGATCGCGCTTAAAAAGCATCGCTACTCACGGCGCTCCATGCGGGGCCACCTAATGGGCCGACGCGAAAATGGCACGAATTGTGCTGACGCAGACAATCAGGTCAACCCCTAGTTGACTGGAAAGGGGTCTTATCCCGTAACTGCCAAAAAGGGGGGTCCTCAATTTCTGGTTGCACAGGATAAGACCCACCCCAGTATAAAGACCCATGGGGCTTCAGTTACAGGGAGTCTTTTAGCCGGGTGTATGCGGTACATAGTGGTGGTACCACCACCAGCATAGCAAAACAGAGCTATGGAATGAAATTCATACAAACCTGGCTTAGATAGTTGCTACATTCCTCGACCCAGGAAGTAGCGAGGGCAGTGAGGGTGAGAGGCGGGAATCAGGCCTGGCTTTGCCCATGACGCTCTCCCTGCTGCACCATCAGATCCACCAGCAAAGCCAGCAGCACCAGCAGCGCCAGAAGCACCAGCACCAGCAGCAGTGCCATTAGTGCCAGCAGCGCCCGGACCATAGCTTCCAATCTCAGCATAGCAGACGCAGTCGCCCCGTGTGTCGCCATTCCATGTGCTCCACCCTGCCGCCTGCATGCTCTGCTTGCAGGGGGTTGTATGGTTGTGACCACAGGGCGCATGGGCATGGGTATGAGCGTGGGGATCATGAGCATTGTAGGAATGAGCATGAGGCTAGGGTAGTGACAGAACATGGGCAGTCGCTCCATGTGTCGCCATCCCACGCGCTCCATGTGTCGCCATCCCACATGCTGCACCCTGCTGCTTGCTTTCTCATGGCATGGCGTTGGCATGGGGATGAGTACGGGTATGGCAATGTTACGAATGAGAATGCGCAGGAAACGGGCTGAAGCATGGGTATGGCATGGTAGGAAAGAGCATGACACTCGGGGACAGCTAGGAGCACGGGAGTGCGCTGTGAGCAGCGAACGGGATCCTTGCCCTGTACGCTGCAGAATTCTGCTGCGATGGTGGACTACTGCGACATCCGATTGGCCTGCTGCGGTCGAAACTCATCACCTCTCTGCAGGAGCACGGGAATGCCGTGTGATCATGGGAACCGGAACCTTGCTGGTTGGGCTGTAACCAACGCACCTCAGGCAAGTAGTTGTCGACCATCACGCCATGCGCACAGCTCTTCCACGGCCTAGTGTTAGAGGCGCCTTACAACAACCCTTTCGCACACGCACCTCAGGCAAGTGGTTATCGATCATCATGACACGTGCACCGCTGTTCCATGGCCTAGTAAGGCGTCCAGCGAATTCCTGTGCCAACTCACCTCAGGCAAGTAGTTGTCAATCATCACGACACGGGCACAGCTCTTCCAGGGCCGCCCAAACGACCCCTCCCTCACCCCCTCCTCCGCGGTAACATTACACCCGCGAATCACAATCCCCGTCGGGGTATTAGTCTCCCTCCCCGACGCTGTGATCTCAACCGTCGGTTTCCCCGCGCGCATCTCCACCGTCGATCGGTCGATCAGCGCAGCAGCATCACCAAAGATGAAATCCGTGAACCCCGAGATGAAACAGTTGCTGTAGTACTGCCGCCCGGAGTCGACACAGAGCGTGTCCTGGTGCCCGGTGAACGCGCACTCGAGGAAAGCGGAGCGATCGCCAGAGGCTTTGAGAGCCACTGCCTGCTTGCCACGTGGCCCTGCTGTGTTCTCTACCCGTATCCCCACTGCCATGAACAGGCCTCGGTCCACGGCTTAAATGGGGAGGGAAGGGGGGAAGGAAGGCGGAAGGAAAGGGAAGAAGGGCGGAGGAGAGGGGAGAGGTGATGCCTTTGGTCTCCATGCAAGTAAGTGCAAATGGCTATGTCCCATTCCTTGCCAGCCAGCCACACACCACATACCAACGGTGGCAGAGCCGTACGTGGACGAGCCCTTAGCGACACTATTGTTGCCAGTGATGATGGTGTGGTTGCTGCCTCCCCCACCAGCACCATTCCCTCCCGCCCCACGCGTACCCTCCGCCCCGCCCGTGAAGATGATCCAAACACGTACCAACAGTGGCAGAGCCATACGTAGACGAACCCCCGGTGACACTGTCGTTGCCAGTGATGATCGTGCGGTCGCTGCCCTCCCCCACCAGCACCACTCCCTCCCGCCCCACCCGCACCTTCTCCTCATACCGACCCGCCCGAATGAAAACGATAAAAGGCCGAGCAGTTTCCTGCACTGACAGTGCCACGTCAAGGGCTTGCTGCAGAGGGAAGGAATTGGGAATGAGGCAGGGGAGAAGGGGAGAGAGGGGAGATGAGGGAGGGGGGGAAATGAGGGAGGGGGGGAGTAAGCACGTCAATGCACCTTCTCCCCATGCCGCCCCGCCTGTATGAGGACGACGTGAGGCCGAGCAGTTCCCTGCACTGAGGGTGCCGCGTCAATCGCCTGTTGCAGAGGGAAAGAATTTGGAGTGAGGAGGGGGGGGAGGGTAGCATAAGCACATCCATACATCTCCTCCCGATACCGCCCCCTGGTCTTGTGGCAAAGGGTGGGCGGTGTGACGTGGCAAAGGGTGGGTGGTGTGACTTAATGGACAAGGATGCAAAGGGGTTTGGGAATGACTTTTGAGGCGCCTCAAAAGACAGGGACAGAGGGGAGGTGGAAAGAAAGAGGACAGTGACAAGTGGTGAAACGGGGGTTGCTGTGATAATTCAATCAGTGGTCGAGATCGACGTTACAATCAGGTTACAGATAGACGTATCTGCAGCGAGAAAGCTGCCTGCCTGCCTCTCTGCCTGCCTGCCTGCCTGCCTCTCTGCCTGCCTCTCTGTCTGCCTCTCTGCCTGCCTCTCTGCCTGCCTCTCTGCCTGCCTCTCTGTCTGCCTCTCTGCCTGCCTCTCTGCCTGCCTCTCTGCCTGCCTCTCTGCCTGCCTCTCTGCCTGCCTGCCTGCCTGACTCACTCACTTGAATGCGAGTGTATTGCTCTTCAACACCAACCACTGCATCCGGCGTCAATTCCCTGGCTCCTGCTTCCCGGAGCCATGGTCCACCCACATGCCCACCACCTGTACTGCCACCTGCAACGCCGCCCACACTGCCGCCCATATCGCCTTCCAGACTTCCGCCCAGATTGCCGACCAGATTGCCGCCCAGACTGCTGTTTACACTGCTATCCGCATTGCGGCCTGCGCCTGCTGCAGTCTCTGCCTGCATTCTCGTCTGCAGCGCCTTCAGCTGCTGGTATAGTCCCATGTCCACCCACGCTGGTGCCTCGTACCCCGTGCCCTCCCCTTGCTGCTGTTGCTGTTCCGTACACGTGGCAGGATCAGAGAGTGACACGTCAGCAGAGGCCAGAGCCACGGCTGCTTCTAGGAGAGACTCGCACTGATCGGTTACTGTCTGGGGGCGAGGGGGGAAATGGGGCGAGGGGGGAAATGGGGCGAGGGGGGGAATGGGGCGAGGGGGGAAATGGGGCGAGGGGGGAAATGGGGCGAGGGGGGAAATGGGGCGAGGGGGAAATGGGGCAAGGGGGGAAATGGGGCGAGGGGGGAAATGGGGCGAGGGGGGAATGGGGCGAGGGGGGGAATGGGGCGAGGGGGGAAATGGGGCGAGGGGGGAAATGGGGCGAGGGGGGAAATGGGGCGAGGGGGAAATGGGGCGAGGGGGGTGATGGGGCGAGGGGGGAAATGGGGCGAGGGGGGGAATGGGGCGAGGGGGGGAATGGGGCGAGGGGGGAAATGGGGCGAGGGGGGAAATGGGGCGAGGGGGGAAATGGGGCGAGGGGGGAAATGGGGCGAGGGGGGTGATGGGGCGAGGGAAGGGGAAGGGGCGAGCGGAGGGATGAGACTCGCACTGATCGGTTACTGTCTGGGGGCGAGGGGGGAAATGGGGCGAGGGGGGAAATGGGGCGAGGGGGGGAATGGGGCGAGGGGGGAAATGGGGCGAGGGGGGGAATGGGGCGAGGGGGTAAATGGGGCGAGGGGGAAAATGGGGCGAGGGGGGTGATGGGGCGAGGGAAGGGGAAGGGGCGAGCGGAGGGATGGGGGCTAGGGGAGAGATGGGGGCGAGGAGAGTGATGGGGGGAGAAGAGAGAAGAGGAATGGGTGAGGATGGAAAGTTGAGTGTGAAGTGAGAGAGTGAGGAAGGACTTGACCAGCCAGTTATTGTTTGGGGCCAGAACGGAGAGATGGAGAAGAGAAGGGGGCGAGAAGGGAGAGATGCGGAGGGAACGAGGTATGTGGCGCATCGAAGTCGTACCGTCTACCTTACCTTCAGAATCCCCCCTGCATGCAACCACCATGAGGGCATTTCCAGCTGCAGGCCGCAGGGAAGGCCGCAGCGCAGCGCGCTCATGCAGTTGCGCATCGAGAGTGTGCCTCAAACTTTACCTTACCCCTGCCTGGAACCCACCTTGAGAGTATCCCCAGCCGCACACCGCAGCGAGGGCCCTGTGAAGTACTTGAGCGCGCTCATGCAGCTGCGCATCTGGCGCCCCAGGAGTGTGCCTTTTCATGTCTGCCTTACCTTTAAAATCCCCCATCCCCCCTGCCTGAAACCCACCTTGAGAGTATCCCCAGCCGCACACCGCAGCGAGGGCCCTGTGAAGTAATTAAGCGCGCTCATGCAGTTGCGCATCTGACGCTGCGCGGCCGACAGCCAGTACGGCACACCCGCCATTCCGCCTCCCCCACCGTCCCCAGTTCCGCCGCCAGTTCCAATGCCAGTTGCGCGGTCGGTTGCGCCGTCAGCAGCGCCGACTGCGGCGCCACGAGCGGTGCCTACGGAGAGCCGATCGTCCGCCAGTCGCAAGTGGTACAGCGCGATACCCGCCTGGTCCGCGCATTCCCCCGTTATAATCTCCGTGTAGTTAGTCCTGCTCGTCATGTCGGCTTTGATCTCCTCAAACAGCGGCAGGGCCGCCGTGACTTGCGCTTGGACCCGATTCACGAGAGCGCGAATCACGGTGCGCCTGGAGGCGGAGAACGCGCCCAGGGATTGCCGCGCGAAGCGAAATTCGGCGACGCATTTAGTTTCGTTGAGAGAGGAGAGACATTCGGGGGGGTTGCGAAGAACATAATAGTCGGCTGCGATAAAGTACGCGAGCGAAAGGCATAAAGCGACTCCGGCCGTAAGAGCAAGGCATCGGAAGCTACGTCTGATGACAGCACTGCTGGACATCGGAAACTTCGTGTGTCCTGGTAGCGGCGGAGCTTCGAAGAAACTTCGTATCGTGGCTCGTGGCTGCGAATGCTTCGCCTTACGGTGGGCCAGTCGCATCGCGTTTCATCTCCGCTCGGAAAAATCTATATGGGCGCAACCAGCCATGGCGGCCTGAATTCACCTGTGCCTTCTCCACCTTGCCTTGGCTCTGTTGACAGCAAAGCAGAGGATGAAACGTTGGACTGGACGCTCGACGTTTGAATGTTCCTCCAGAAAGGCCTCATCCCAAAAGCCTTGAAATTGGATTTGGCAGTTCCTGTCATGATACACACGCTGGGGTTGCCCTTGGTCCTCGGGGAAGGGCCACAGGCAGGGCTGACATTAAATTAAAAAAACCCCTTCTGATTTTGGCCCCACAAAAAAATCCAAGTCTGAGGGCGGGGCTAGACCGCGTGTCAGGCGTTCGGTACAGCCCTACCTGACACCTGGAAGCACATACTGCCCTAGTGTCAGGCAACATTTCCCGCTCTCAGAAACCGGTAAACATCGCGTCTACACGTCAATTTCAGCGTCGCATGTATTCAGAGTCCAACTGCCACGAAACAAGCCGAGTAAGCATTCACCGTGGCAGTCGCCTGCATCGCACGCGACCTCGCTAGTGCAACCTGGCGACACTTTCAGAGCTCCTGGCGTCAAGGGTCGCGCAGTGGCCATTAGGTCGACCTGTACCCCGGGTGAGCTCGGCATACCTGTACCAACTGCCTGACACGCGGTCTAACTTTGCCCTCAGTAGCCAGGTTCGGATTTCAGGGAGTCTGATTTTGCAGGATCCATTGAGGCTCAAGTTTCATATTCTATTCTCAAGGTTCGCACACATCAATTAGAGTCTAACGCACATCACCATTTAGTCTCCAACATTACATAACATTTTGGCCATTAACCAACACCTACTCCAATTTCCTAACCTATCTAGAACCCTAGCACATCCACAGCGACTACATCCTCCGCCTCATCATCCGACAGGAAGGGGTTGTCTTCTATAGCTGTTGCACCTCCACCATCCCTCTCCCCCTCCTCCTCCTCCTCATCCCAATCCTCTCCTATATAGTATGACACCGGAGGTTCGTGCTCAACCTCTTCCTGCAGAGCCTTGCCCTTGCGCTTCCTCTCTTGTGATGCGAACACCACCGACTTTGCTGGTCTTTTCTTCTTCGTGTGCCACAGCTCCAACGCTTCCTGCCAGTCAATCTCGTACTGCAGCAGCGAACTCATTATCAGCTCACCCAGGCGGGCATTGCAGAGTGCATTACATTTTGCCTCGAAAAACCACGCTCGCACTCCACAGTTGAGAGTGGTAACACCACGCATGCTTGCCAGAGAAGCATGAGGTTGGGCCAGCGCCAGTTTATGGAACAACCACACACAAGAGGCATGGAACAATAGAATTAGAAACAAACTGGAGGTATGGTTGGCAACGAACAATAGAATTAGAAACAAACTGGAGGCATGGTGGACAAAACTGGCAAAAATAAACATACATAGGCGAACAGAGCAGCATGCACTGGAGGCTTGACTTACCTGCTTGACTCCATGTTGCCAAGGTAGTTCGTGAGGCCCTGGTAGGAGCCCTCCTCATCCTGGTGGTTGTGCATGATCGGGGCCCAAGTTGCCAGCTCCTTCTCCACCGCCTTCAAATCGAACCCGGGGATCATGTCGTCGAAGAGTGCACTGCAGCCATGGAGATACTCCCTCGTCTTCTTCTCCCTCAGCGTCCAAAGCCGCGGCCACTTGGCCCGCCCGAAACAGCTTCGTCGGCCCGAGCTTCGACATGTCGTCAAGCCGCTCCAGCAGGTTCGATATCCTCCCCCTCGCGAACTTCGCGCACAACAGCTCGCAGTCCCGGTAGTTGCTCTGGTAGACATGCCCCTTGATCTGCCGCTCGTGCATCTGGTACATGTGCGTCACCGGTTGCCCGTCCTTGTTGACGCCGTGCACCTTCACTCTCTTCGCCCTCCTGCGTCCGTACACAATTAAGAAAGCCGACAGCCACGTGCCGCTTATGCCTGCACCAAAAACCCCGCCGCACTCCAAGTAGCGGTATTGAAGATCCCCCACCACCTCGTCGACATCCTTTGTTATCTCAGTGACATCCATCTGCGGTCAGACGGGGGGGGGGGGGGGGGGGTTGGAGGGAACATGGGGACGCAAGTCAAGGCACAAAATGCTAGTGCTGATTGTGAAAGAACATAGCAGTAACACACATGCAAGGGCTCACCTCTCGCTTCTGAAACTTGAGGTTGAGCTCGTTCATGATGATGAGGACGTCTGCCAGGAAGAAGAGACAAAACTGGAACTTGTACAAGAGGACAACCTCATACAACTCATGCTTATACTCGAACAGTAAAACGATGGCAGCACCAAGGACCTTACACAGGCGTCTGACTGCCTCACCCCTAGACAGTCACCGAATCGTATGGATTCCTTGAACTTCAAGGTTGGTCTTGTGGATGACACGCTGCACGTACTTGAACCGTTGGCTCCACACGCTTGAACGGCCGAGGAGATCGGCCAGAGTTCAGATAACCTTGTCAACAATGTCCAAGTCTGGACAGGTAGATGCGGCGTCCTTCACAGCCAGAGCTTCCTTGCGCACAGTCCATAAAACAAATGAGTAAAAAAAAAAAAAAAAAAAAAAAAAAAAAAGCGAGAACATTGCATAATGACTCTATATCGGTGGGCGATGCAGTGGGACGACACAAGGTGACGGATGTGCTCGCGGAGCCGCGCCACGAGACCGTTCTCCCACCCCACCATGACAAAAGCGCCATCGGTGCTGATTCCCGTGATGCAGTTGAGTTCGATGCCGTCGCCTTGAAGATGAGTAAGGAGCACGGAGAGGCGGCGTCACACTTCTTGACGGTCAGCAACGAGAAGAATTCGGTAACGACGCGGCGATGGCGCAGGAACGTGATGTACATTATCAGGTGCTTCCCTCTGGTATGGTCAGTGCTCTCGTCGCAACTGATGCCGACGAACGGGGATGACAGAATGTGCTGCATCTGGGCCCATTGAAGAAGAGTTGCCAAGCAGTGGACCATCTGTTGAAAGCCGTACATGCACGCAGAAGAGGATTAAATGTTAAAAAGATCCAACGGGTCGGAGTAATGGACTGTACTCGCGGGTACTTACCGAGTGAGGTAAATGCCGTAAGACTGGAGCGGTATGTACCGGGTGTCCTGCTCAGCCATAAAACGACATAGCCAAGGCAACATGCTAATGGGAGCATCGAACTTACAGCGGAACTCAACGGTGCGGAGCAGTCGCACGACCCGCCTCCCCTCGACATCCGACGACAAGAAGTTTTCGATCTTCTTCTGCCCATCAGCGATGTCGTCGGCAATCTTCAGCTGGGCCTCCACAACTTCCTTGTGTGCAGAGGAGTGTTCGTATAAGCGCATCGTCTGTGTCTACAGATCTCGACCACCGTCGCCCGAAGAGCTGTACTTGGTGGTCTCCTTGCCGTACGTCATGCAGACATTGCACTTGAGAGCAGGGTAGCCGTCTTTTGTTTTGGTTAGCAGAAGCCAAGGAAAGAAAGGCAGCCAGGAAGTTTTGTACTTCGCTTCAGCGACGAGGTGTTTCTGCTCAATCAATACCTTCTTACTCAGCTTTGGCGGTGGCGATTCATCAACGACAAGGACTGCACTAGGTGATGGCGGCGGGGACAGGCGGCGGAGCCTACCTCCGATCATGATTGGGAGAGGGTGTACTTGCCCGTCCGTTGCTTCTTCATAGACAAAATCGTGGACACGCTGGGTACGCAATTGCGGACTGTGGTGGCGGTGGCGCAGACGGGTAGATTCGGGCCTCTGCTGGATGAGACGACGGCTGGCGGAGGGATATATGGTGGTGGCGCGAGGGGTGCGGACGGAGGTGGGTTTAGAGCAGGCTGGGTTTCCTCCGCTGCGGAGGGAACCACAACAGCTATGATGGGAGGAGAACCTAACGAGCGCATAATGTCTAAGCGAGGAACCTCTGCAGGATCGTTACTACGAGGTGGTTCATCGACGCTGGGCTGGTCGTCCTCTTCTGCAAGAGACCCCATCATGTCTGGTGACGGGATCGACAAATGAGAACCTACGTGAAGACGAGGACTCCGAAACACGGATTGAGGAGGAAGATTTACCAACTCCCTCTAAATGCCTAGCGCCTAAGAGGAGGGGGAGGGATGAGAGGGACGAAGAAGAAGGGACCCATCAAGCCCGAGGCGCGTGTTTCTTGGTTAGCCCTCGTCAGCTTTTGGACGGCAACCCCTTCCAAACCCACGCCGCCATGCCAAACATTAGCTGACATTGCGAACCATGTGTTGGCATAGACTGTGGCCAATCACAGTTGATCAGACAATTTTGCACATGCCAGCGAGGGCAAGTTTCCCGCGTTACCAGCCTTTGCTGGCTTCCAACACACCCACGTTGAGGTCCTTAGCAGGCATGCGTGGTAGGATGCATGACGCGCAAGTCCATATTGAGGGCAGCATAACAGTCACACAAGGGGCGGGAATCCTGCCAAGTGCAGATACTTCACGTGAGACGTGCGGGGGTGAAATGATGGTAGACAGCATATGACATAGTAGAGGAAATACGTGCACGTACAACGTGCACGTATGTCGCATTCAGATTCCATACGCGATGTACTATAAAAACTCAGTATGCGCACAACGACTAGTCTGAAAACTTCAGGATCCAGAATCATACAACTCTAAGGGTTAAGTATCCAGAAAAGCCTAAGTCTGAAAAATCAGGAGTGGCAAAAAAATGGGTCTGAAATTTCAGACAATCAGACTAAAATAGTATGATAAAATCACCCCTGATTATTGTTGTGATAAAATCGTACTTCAGCCTTTCTGTAAGTAGTTTCGATAGATATTGTCTAGTTACACTATAGTTAGCATCCGTAGAATGACGTCAGCAAATAGCGCTCGTCTGGATGATTACGTCAGCAGGCCGTTTCAGTCACGCGAACAGTCGCGCTCTTTTCAGTAGCGGTTAGAGCGCATAGCGCAAATAGTTTTGAACATGTACATCACCGAATAGGTACTTCTAGCAGATATAAAAGTAGTTTGTACAACTTCAATTATCAACTTGTTATTGAGAAAATTCTGGTCAACACTTACAAGTTCTAAGACTTCCGCTGTCTTACTAGTCTACCATTCCAGAAAATATCCTTGTTCAAGTCTTGAAGTATCACAAGGTTGTAACACTGACTCTG